GGGAGGGAGGGAGGGAGGGAGGGAAGGAAGGAAGGAAGGAAGGAGTATTGCTTAGTTCAAGAAAACGCAGCTTTGGGGGTTGGGCACTCATATTAATATAAATTCATATAATTAAAATATATGAAAAATAATTATTCCCCGTGGATTAATAATTTTCCTCTTTCGTCACATTAAGAATGATTACTTGGTGGCAACTTTTAGAGGAGACCATACCCCAAACTGTAGGGAAGCCAGCTGCAGCCCTGGCAGCATCATATAGTGCAACCTTTAGTGCAGTTACTTTAAGTAGAAAGTCAGAAGGTGAAGCCAGAAAGTAAAAAAAAAAAAAAAAAAGGAAGATCTGTGATGCTTCACCACAGCCACATCAGCAGCCAGGAGCAGATGTACTAAAGGAGCACAAGTTTTCTGTTGCTGAGTTCATGGATCCTGTATTTTCTGCCAGGGTGGCTACATAAGGAGGTCCAGAGCAACAGCAAGACGTTGTCCCTGAAGCTGAAGAAACGCTGGTTTGTACTGACCAGCACTGCCCTTGACTACTACAAGTCTTCAGAACGCACCGCAACCAAGCTTGGGACCCTTGTTCTCAATAGCCTCTGCTCAGTGCTTCAGCCCGATGAAAGAATCTTCAAAGAAACTGGTAAGAACTATGTAAGGAGGTTGCAGGTTCTTCTGACGCCTGCAAAAATTTTGGAGGATCTTATTGCATTCATTATGAGCAATTATAAATAGGTAGAAATATGTCTGCATTTATAATTTGGACATGGGAGAGAAGCAACCTAGAACTAAGGAGAAACTTCCTGACAGAACAATTAACCAGTGGAACAACCTGCCTCTAGAAGCGGTGAATGCACCAACACTGGAAGTTTTTAAGAAGAGACTGGACAGCCATTTGTCTGAAATGGTATAGGGTTTCCTGCCTGAGCAGGGGGTTGGACTAGATGACCTCCAAGGTCCCTTCCAACTTTGTTGTTGTTGTTGTTGTTATGCTGTGGGCAAATGCCTATATGTTGCATGTAGAGCAGGAATAGGCAATTTTTTATTTTATTTTATTTATTTAAAACAATAAAATAAGGTGAGAAAGAACATAGTGCATGAAAAATAATATCAGTAAATAGGGAATTTATAGTTATAACGTTTAAGGTTTGTTGATTAAATAAATATATAAAATTAAACTCATCATCTTCAGAAATAATTGTAAATCATTGCAAAATAATCAACATTACTTATATTAATGTCACCATTGTTTATCATTATCTAAAATAAGTGTACGTGATCAAATGAAAAATAAATACTAAAAACAAATCCTTGAATAGCAGCATGTCAGTGTCAACGCTGCAGTCAGACATTGCAGACACATGAAGTCAGAAGGTGCCAATATAGCCAACAGATTTTCTGTGAACAGATTTCACAGATATGATACAAAGAAACACAACAAAATTAAAAGAATCTATTGTAAAGCAGCTTGATGAGAACGTGGAATTCCACAAATGCAGCAATGAGTCCAATCTCGCCTTTATCCACACCCTCACTCTAAAGTACCTTTTATAATATACTATAAAAGGATACAGTTATTGTCGGAAAGGTATAATTATGTTGCAGATATAGTGCATCCAGACTCTAGAAATAGACTAAATCACAGTTTGTTAAGATACAGGTAGTCCTCGACTTACAACCACAATTGAGCCCAAAATTTCTGTTGCTAAGTGAGACATTTGTTAAGTGAGTTTTGCCCCATTTTACGACCTACCTTGCCTCAATTGTTAAGTGAATCACTGCAGTTGATAAGTTAGTAACTTGGTTGCTAAGTGAATCTGGTTTCCCCATTGACTTTGCTTGTCAGAAGGTTGCAAATGACTTGGGACACTGCAACCCTCATAAATAGGAACTAGTTACCAAGCATCCAAATTTTGATCACATGATCCTGGGGATGCCCCAAAGGTCGTAAGTGTGAAAAATGGTCATAATGGTCATTGTAACTTTGAACATCTCTAAATGAACTGTTGTAAATCAATGACTACCTGTATAGGCTGATAACCACGAGGACAACTTTAGCTCAACATTGGAAAATATATGCCAATAATATCAGACTACGAAAAGCAAATCTGGAAGACACGCGCAGCGCTGGCTAAATTAACAGTATAGATCAGAACAGTGGGGGATGTGAGTTCTTACACTACAACACACATTCTTACATATCGTATCATTATTTGAATTGGTTCAGGCATACAATTGGTCTTTCTTTTACATAGTCATTCAGGTTTAAAAAAAACGGAACAGTCTTTTTACATTTTCCTTGAATGCTGGCTTAGTAGAATGAAGTCCCTTCTCATCCAGTATGGGAGGAAATTAAGTTGCTAGGAGAAACGGTTTGCTCTGCTTCTCACTAACAACTTGCTTACCTTCCATGCTTGGCTAGAAAAAAAAACACAGAACAATATAATTAGATCATAGCTCTGCATTCATATTTGAAAAGCCCAGACGTTTCTTGAACCAATATTGTGCATCCTGCAGATCTTAATATTTCATTCATTGGTTTCTTGAAGCAAAACAGGTTTCCATGTTCAATGAATAATGGAACAGTCCTGATCAAAGAAGTTTTAATTAGCATTCTGATAGCAGAACCAATAGCTTTCAGTGTCTTTTGGCTGCACGTTTAATATTACAGCATACCGCACTTAAACAGAACAAATTGCCTTCCTGTCTTGACTGAATAGCACCTCTTCCTGTCTTCTCCATTGCCTTGCTTATTATTTACTGCTCTGAAATAGTGACACACTCATCTTGGTTGTCTTTGTGCCAGCAGGTTACTGGAACATCACTGTGCATGGCAGAAAGCATTCATACCACCTCTACACAAAGTTGTTGAATGAAGCCATGCGCTGGGCCTCTGCCATCCAAGGAGTCATTGACAGCAAAGTTCCCATTGAAACACCCACACAGCAACTTATTTGTGACATTAAGGTAAGTTCCTCCAAGTCTTAATTGAGCTCTACTCAGAAGCCATAGTTGAATCTCCTTCTGGATATGAACACAACTCTGGGTCCTGACCCGCCTTTCTTGTTTTTAATCACAAATGCACTTTTTAATGTATGGATTTTTTTGTATTCCTAACCCCATCACTAAATCAGAGACATTGGATAATAATATATAGCTACATACATATGCATTTTTCACCACAAACTTTACCTACAGTAGTAGATTCCTCGTGGTGTGTTAGACACATATATATGTACTACATGATAAAGGCTGCATATTACGTTGCATCAGGGGCCTTATATCATTAGTACATCGTACATGTCATACATAGACGATCGCTGGTTCAACTAATGATAAATGTAATTAAAAGTAATGACCTTCCAATATTAACAATAATATTTTCTCTGGAAAAATGAATTGTGATTGGACCAATGGGGGGCTGGCTTTTGGGGCACCCTGTATATTTGGGGGGGAGGAAAGGTAAAGCCATTGGAAACATCTCTGCCACTCTCCTTCTCTCTCCCTGCCCCCTTCTGTTTACTTCAGGAAAATAATACAAATTCTGAAGTGGTAGAACAAATCTACCGAAGGAATCCCATCCTGAGATACACCCAGCATCCCTTGCACTCACCACTGCTGCCACTGCCTTATGGAGATGTTGGGATCAACAGTAAGTAACTGTGGCTTTGAGATTTGAGGAACCAAGTCAGAAGGTGCAAAAGAAACAGTTGTCAAAATGTAGCTGGTAGGCAGGGCAAAGTTATGGAGTGTCAAGACTCATATTGAGAAGACTGTAAAAATGAACCGTGCAGTCCTATGGATATTTGATTAAAAAGCAAGATCCACTGATTTTGGTGGGACAAATTCATAGGTAGGCATAGGGGGAAAAAACAATGATTTAGTAGTGAGTTTAGCTGAGTTTGTCCTGGATGGAGCACCTGTGTCTTCACAACGATAAAAAATCATTAATATGCAATTAATAGTAATAATATTTAAATGATATCTCACCCAGACAGAGGAGAGCCCTCATGAATTATGCTGTTAATTTGGTTCCCTTTCCCAAGCTGAATAAAATCAGTTTTATTATATTTCTTATTGCATCAGTTATCTTCTTAGCTCAGATGGTCTTTTTTCTGCCTTTCATAGCAAAATAGAATCTAGTGCCTTTCCAGATGGAAAAGAGAAGGTGGTGGAGAATCCAACATTGTTCTAGGAGAGAGATTAGGCACATTACTCTGTGTGACTGCAGTGAATGGGTAGAGCCCCCCTCCCTAATCTACTACTGTCCAGATGTGATAAATGATCCAATAACCCCTTGTAGTTTTAGACATCTGGTGGATACCAACTCAGAGAAGGCTAGAATAGACATTAGTACTGTATTTTGCAACCCCCTGAGGGACCTATATGTAATTTTCATAAGATTATTGTATTTAAACCCAAAAACTGCCTAACAAACAGTTCCAAAGGAGGTACTGTACTGATTGTCCTCTCCCTTGCCTTGTTCTTGTGGTTCTTCTCCCCTTATAGTGCAGCAAGAGAAGGGCTACAGCAGTCTTCAGGATGAAGCCATGAAGATCTTCAACTCCCTTCAGGAAATTGAGTCAGTGTCTGACCCTATCCCCATTATCCAGGGCATCCTTCAGACCTGCCATGATCTCAGGGGCCTCCGCGATGAAGTCTATTGTCAGCTGATCAAGCAAACCAATCATGTGCCACAGCCCAACAGCCCTGGTAATCTTCATCACTGGCAGCTCATGACCTGCATGAGCTGTACCTTCCTCCCCAGCAGGGGAATCCTGCGTTACCTCAAGTTTCACCTCAGAAGGTAAGAGGTATTCTATGCACACTAATGCTTATTGCCCCTGGGTGTAGATCGCAGCCGAAAGTTAAAACTAGGTCAGATGCTGGGAGAGATTCTGATCCATGCTTTATGTCCTGTATATTGTCAAACCCCCAATGCGGTATCTTTTCATTGCCTCTAACACTCTTACATACCGTAGTTCCCCTTTGTTTTTCCCCTAATGCTGTAAAAATGAAAATGTAAAATACTAGTCCTGTAGTCAGAAAACTAAATGCCCTCTGGAGGGAGATGCATAGATTAGTACAATTTCTTTAAATCAAATGACAGTCATCTTATAGGTGATAAGTAACTTATGGCCTTTGAATGAGTTTGGCCTCTCTCCAGGGTTTTGGATCAACGTGGCTTATAGGGCACTGTACCTCTTCTTTTCTCATCCCAGAGTAAAAGATCTCTTTCTGGCCACGGAAGTAGACCGGTATTCTCAGTTCATCACTGATTCACTGAAGAGAACTAAGAGCAGAGAATTTGTCCCCTCCCAGGAGGAAATACAAGCACTTATCGCTCGGCAGGAAATGACCACTACTGTCTATTGCCACGGAGGAGGTTCCTGTCAGATCACTATCAATTCTCACACCAGTGCAGGGGAGGTAAGACTAGAATAAGCTTTTGGAAAGTTGGGCTGCCTAGGAACTCTATGATTGCTGTCTCTTCACTGACTGATCCAAGAAAGAATTAAAACATTGGAAAAGGAAGCTCTCACTTCCCTTCTGATCTACAGGCCAGTTCCTTAGAAACTGTGTCTCAAAATGTACATCCTTTGTCCAATCTGTTTGTAGCCTTTCCCAATCACGTCTTATAGCCCAATTCCGTCTTTGAACAATGATAGAATAACTTGGTCGGGCTCAACTTTCCTACCTTCTCTCTCTCTCTCTACTTTCAGGTCGTAGAGAAGCTGATCCGGGGACTGGCCATGGAAGACAGTCGGAATATGTTTGCCCTCTTTGAGCGCAATAAGCATGTAGATAAAGCCATTGAGAGCCGGGTGATTGTAGCAGACGTTTTGGCCAAGTTTGAGAGGTAGGAAAAATCACTGTACTTGGACTTCAAGTGTGTAAGACATAGCTGTAAAGTTGAGTGTCCATAGTGTGAAAATGCTCATACAAATTATTTAGGCCCCATCCCCTCTATTTAAGTTTAGTCTTTGTTTCTTGCTAAGAATTTAGTCTGTACTTCTTTCTAAGAAAGCTGTGGCTCATTTGCAATACCATGCTTCATATGTCTAAATCTGTGCTCGCACAGAGTTACACACGTGTGTCCTGAAAAATGGAGGACGAAGTGTTTTTAAGCTCCTTCTGTTTCTAGCCCGCCTCCAGACATAGGCCATATGTTACCCCATTAGCTACAATGCCTGACGTGACTTGCCACAAGCAGCATTAGCATCTCATGACTTGCTTTGTCCCTACTCACGCTACTATTTGCAGTGATATGAAAATGGCGGTGGTGTACCATGGGCTGAGTTCTTCTAAATGTTGTGGAAAGAGTTGCAAGAAGTGGTTTTCAGTAAAGTGGTTTTCACCCCCGTGACACCTTAGTCGTCTTCTTGATCTGTGACCCAAACTCTCCTCCTGTGTGTCTAGACTTGCTGGATCCATGGAAGAGGATGTGGATGGCCATTGGCAGCTGTATTTTAAACTGTATTGTTTTCTTGATGTTGAAAATGTTCCCAAGGAGGGAGTGGAATTTGCCTTTATGTTTGAGCAGGTAAGCCTTCCACGACACAGACTAAGCAGCTTGATCCATGCAACTTAATTGGGTCAAGGATGGGGTAGCAGCACATTAGCAAATGGTGAAATTTAATCAGCAGTGGGATTGGAGAGGTTTCATTTTAGCCCAAGGACCCTGAAATTATCTTCAGTTTGTCAGCAATGACAAGCAAATGCCCAAACTTAATCAACAATGGGCAGGTCATAAAGCACGTCCATTATTTCTTGATTAAAAAAAAAATGGAGCTATCAGGAGGCTGAAAAACATGTCTCCATTTCAGAGTTCAGTACCAAGAGCTATGAGGAGATGTTCAACATCGGAACACATCTCCTCAAGCTATTTCTGCCTTCTATGCAGTCAGTGGGAAAGGGGGCAATGAAGTGATGAAGGCTTGCTTGCATTCCATTGGCGGGAAGGCTATAAAAAAACAAGACAGAACTGGAAAGAGTAGATGGGAATTCCATATTCCCTAAAATGGGAGTTCTTGGTGCAGTTAGTGAGAGTATGCGCTGCCAGGAGCATTGATCACGACTGGATTAGGAGCTGACTGGGCCAAAGGTTTTACATCAACAGATCAGGTGGTTGGTGTTTAGATGGATCAGACTGAGATGAAAAGAATTGGCCCGCTTTGGCACATTGCTGCGAACAAACCAAATTGATCTACTTTACTTGAGAAAACAAGACATGAATTATAATATTGTAATTATGATAAAATGGAATTCCAAAGCCAGGAGAGTCTATGCTGTTGAACATCATAATAGCTGCAAGCTCACATTTTGCACATTTTAGTAGTAGTAGTAAGATATATGTCCTGAAATGTGATACTATTTACTATACCAGTGATGGCAAACCTTTTAGAGACCGAATGCCCAAACTTCAACCCAAAAGCCACTTATTTATCGCCGGGTGCCAGGTGGGCATGGCCCACTGGGTGGGCGTGGCTGTGGTGGTCATAGCAGATTGGGTGGGTGTGGCCAAGGTGGGTGTGATCACCTTGATGTTGCTCGTAGGGAGGGATGCCTTTGGGGGCCGGCAAGGTTGGGGGAGATCCAGGGGGTCTCTGGCAGGTGGGGCGGTGGGCAGGAGGCTCATCCTGCGGGGTGAGGCGAGGCAAGGCGGGGGTGCCATTGCCATAGGGCAAAGTGAGACAGGCCGGGGGGGCTGCTGCCAGACACCATCAGCCCCTGCACACAGAGGCCAGCGAGCGCATGGGTGCTGGGATGCATCTGGCCATGTGGGACCTCAGCGAGTTAGCAGGTGGCTGGTTGAAGAGGGACAGTTGCCATCTCTGGGGCATAGTGCATGTGCCCACAGAGAGGGCCCTGAGTGCCATAGGTTCGCCACCACTGTACTATACCATACAGTACGGCACGGCACTATAAACAAATATAAAAGGCTGGGAATAATTGTTACTTCTGACTTTAACAGGCTCATGAAAGTCTCATTGATGGCCATTTCCCCGGCCCAGAGGAGACCCTGCAACATTTGGCATCGCTGAGACTGCAGTATCTTTACGGGGACTATTCCAAAATCTCCTGGTCCCTCGATAGCGTCTATCCAGTGAACCGGCTGAAGTCAAAAATTCTGCAGTCAATGAAAAGTAGCGGTTCCAGCAGCCAGGTTCTGGAGAGAAGGCGGACTAGCTTCCTGGAGGGCACTCTGAAGCGTGGCTTCAAGGCAGGCTCGGTGAAGAAGCAAAAAGTGGAAGAGGAACAGATGGCAGAGATGTGGGTGAAAGAAGAACTCTCAGCAGCTCGGGCCAGCATAACAGAAAAGTGGAACAAACTGCAGGGGTTGCTACAGCAACAGGCCATGGTGGCTTACATGGCAGTCATGAAGGAATGGTCAGGTTATGGCTCCACTCTCTTTGACGTTGAGGTAAGAGAGACATAGAAGCGTGTGTGGGGTTAAAGGACTGCGATGCTCATCAGCAGCACTATTTCTGTACATACCTCCACCCATAGCCTAAGTGTCCTGATGTTTTGTGTTTTTCCCCGACAATCTGTTAATTGGTTTTGGTGTGTATGTGAAATACTGGCCTCTATCCACCTGACATCTTCTAGCTCTAGGTTCCATTTGGACAAACAATCCGAGGAAGGAAACATAGCATGAAACAAAGGTTTTGCCTTTTTCAGTATTCCCAGCTGCCAAGGAAGGAAGGAAGGAAAGGAGGGACAAGGTAAAGAAGAAAACTGGGATGGCAATAAGAAAAAGAAGGAAGCTGGGGGTGAACATACAGTTGGTGATTCGAGATTTATATTGCATTGTGAGATACAGATAACACCTTTTGTATTTAGGATCATAGGAAAGTTATTTGATTTCTGGAATCACCTGTTCTTCTTTGTTTTGTGACTGGATGTGCCCACTATGAAAGTCACTTTGGGATGTAGCATTCCCACATTGCTATTTTTTTGTCATGTGCCCAGGATATTTTTCTAAAAATTTCAACTATGCCCCTTTGCTCAAAATGTCTGTAGATAATTCTTGCACCTGAGTTAACGGCTTCTGAAGTATCTCTTATGCATGTTACTTCAGCATCTTTATTTTAAAAAATCTTACATTATTGTTGTGTTATCCCTGTTAAGAACAGTACCTGTTCTTCAATAACTTGCTGAAGAGCTTGTGCGACATAGAAGTTAAGAAGCTCAACAGAACACTGGAGAGTTCCAGATTCAAATTTTCACTTCGCTGCACTAAGCTGGGATTTTAACAGGGATGGGTTCTTTCACAATTCATTGCTTCAATTACAATAGTGGCTCTTAATATATCACTTCTGAACATGGACACTTCCGATGTTCTGTCTGGATAAAGGACTATTTTTGGCGGGACAGGAAAGTGTGTTGAGTCCAGTTGCTAGAGTTGGGCATTGTACAGAACATACAGACCTGAGCTAGTAACTTGCAGGGGGGGGGGGTGTTCTGCAAGACATCCTTAAAGGATAGATTTGTACTTGCAAAACATTTATTTCAAGTTCCATCTTCCTTCCCTTTCCAAAGTTTCCGTTGCTCCTTTCCCAATTGATCCCACACATTTAATAACTCTTAAAGTGACATCAATGGCTAGAAACCCTCAGCACAAAGTGTAGAACAGGGGTAGTCAACCTTGGCTCTTTTATGACTCGTGGACTTCAACTCCCAGAATTCCTGAGCCAGCTAAGCTGGCTCAGGAATTCTGGGAGTTGAAGTCCACGAGTCATAAAAGAGCCAAGGTTGACTACCCCTGGTGTAGAACAAGCTAAGGCCTAGATAGTTTCATCTCCCAAAACAATTGGCTCTCTTTTTTCTTTTTCTTTCTTTTCTTTTCTTTTGTAGGAGAAGTCCTTGTATTAAAGGATAGCATATTTCTTAGTAAATAAGCATTTTAATTTAATACTTTTCATCTGTTGTTTTGAGAAATATTTGCAAAAACCAAATGGTAAGTGGTAAAAGACTAGTGGTCGAGGGGGCCTGAGGCTGGGGTGGGGGAAAGTTCTGTTTATTCATCACGTGTGTTTCCTGTCAGTTTTGACCAAATGCAGCTTTCTTGGTTATACCATTCCTGTTTGCTAACACATCTTGTGGTTTTTTTTTCCTATAGTGCAAAGAAGGGGGCTTTCCAAATGACCTTTGGCTCAGTGTCAATACAGAGAATGTGTCACTGTACAAACGGGGGGAGCCAAAGCCTCTGGAAACTTTCCAGTATGAGCAGATTATCTTTTTTGGAGCTCCTCAGCCCAACACCTTCAAGCTAACTGTGGATGAAAGAGAGATGTACTTTGAAACCCCCCAGGTACATTTTAGGGGATTCTTGTCTCAGGAATTCAAGCAGGACAAGACTGACTCTTCTAACACAGGATGGGTTAGACCAGAGATTCTCAAACATTTTGGTCACAGGACCCTCTGACATTTTTAAAAATGATTGAAAAAGAATTCTAGTACAATACACCATTCAATATATGCACTGTACTAGGTAGTAAAACTGAGAAATATAAGAATATTTGACTTTGCAGGCTTCCTCAAGGGTTTCAATGACCCCCAGGAGTCCTCAGACCACATTTTAAGATCCACCAGGCTAGAAAAAGTATAAGGTAGAGAAGCTGATTATATAACTTTAATTGGAAAGTTAGTTGGCTAGTAAGAATATCAGGCAATCTCTTCATAGATCAAGTTTACCTTCTGCTATTTGCTCTACTTTCAGAGCAGGAAACAAGCTACGACCTTCTAATATACAGTACCTTTGGTAATCTTGGGTAGATCAGCAAGGGCTTCTGAATTTGTTAGCAGTAGCAAGAAAAATCATCTTTTAAAACTTTTAATAATCATAGTAAGCTTTCTCTGAATACGTTTTCTTGTAGAAGGAGGAATTCTTTTTCTAAGATGATAACAATACAAATGAATTTTTAATCAAGTTATACCTCAAGTTCTCAAGCTCTAAAATGGGCATTTTAAGCATTTACTAAAATGCTTGAAGAAAGGTAGAATTTTAATAAAATAATGACCTAAAAACTGTTTAGCAAGTGTCAGAGCTTTAATTAATTATTTGATTTAGCCATTCTAATGCTTCCATATGTATACTGACTTTATCTTCTGTTACTTCCAGCCAGTGAAATTGTTATTTATTGGAAATTATATATACTACAGATCAGTACACATCTGGGAAATCCTAAATTGCGTATTGAAGGCTTATATTTCAATCACAATATAGCATTGTTGATTTGTAAAATATGTCTTCAACTTGTCTTGGAGACTGAGATACCACAGTGATTTTGTAGTTTACTGAAGGGTTTTGATAATTCTTTTTATTTCATTAGGTGGGAGAAATAATTAAAATCATGAAGGCTTACATCAACATGATTGTGAAGAAATGCTGTAGCATGAGATCAGCCACCAGCTTGGACAGCCATGCGAGTATCTGGATGAGGTGATTGGATTTGCAGAGTTAATTATGCTGCTTAGAAGGACATGTGCTGTGACTCAGCCAAATTTGTAGCAGATTCATTTTGTAAGAAAACATTATTCCATAATTCTCCTTCCAGCATCTTGCCTGACAGAACATCCAGAACATCTTTCATAATTAAAATCAGAACCGCAGAGGCCAGATCCTGAGGCAGTTTTATGTGAATTTTCCCTGAGCCCACTCTTATGGGTCAGGTCTTACTGCAAGGACAAAGCAAGAGCTATCTTTGCTTGAAAAGATCATCATGTGAAAACCTTTTCTGCAATAAAAGCAGCAGGAGAGTTGCTAAGCTAATATCAGCAAGAATTCCACATCTGAAAGAGATTGTTAAGCTCTTCATTGGGTAGAGCAAGTGTGATTTCTCAGGAATGAGCTGCTACATCTGAACAGACTTCATCTTTCCAAGATTTACTATCACCAGTGGCTTCAAGCAACGATTTCAGCTTCCAAATCGATTTTCAGTACTACGTCTATAGGTTTGGGACTCCTGCTACATGGGAGACCAGCTGTCACAAGGCTGCATAAATGTAAAGACATGGCACTGTTCCTTCTTGAAGTCCTTCATAACTTTTCATGCTGCATGTTTGGGGAAGCGCCACTTAGTAGAAAAACATTTATCTGGTTCATTCAGAGGATAAAGTCAAATTTTATATTCACTTGTATGCTGCAGTTCTCTTTCTTCCTTGGCAAGGAGTTTGGACTTTGCAGTATTTTTTTTTTAATCTTTTGTTTTTCTGCACTGCCATCATATATAAGCAACGGGGAAAAATGGTGGCAAGATGGATAGAAAGAATAGATTTCTTCTCTAATCTTAAGCCTGGTGAGTGCATTCTCCTCTGTTCCGATGCATCCTAGATATGTTGATGAAATCGTAACTGAATACAACTGAAGGGTGCCAGGCTGGACAAAGATATTCTGAGCCTAAGACTAAATGTGATTTGTGTAGAAAATAACACATTGGCTCACTTGCACTGAAAATATTTTTGAAAACCCTTTCAAACAAAATACTGCGATAAAATACTCCGAATTCCTTACTAAGAAAAAAGAGGCTCTGAACCCTTAATACTGTTTGTGCAAAATAAACAGGTTTATCTTTACATCTAATTTATCTGGGTTTGGTAGCAACAAGAAATAGAAGAAATTAGGGACATGATGAAGCTCCTGTCTCAAAGTATGAAAATCTGGCTCTCTCGGTGCTGTCCAGAGGCTTTAGATGAGGACTCCCCCAGCCCCTTTCTACCGGCTATGGCAGCTGGGACTTAAAAGAAGAATCAAAATATCCGAGAGCACAATGTTCCCAGTGTAAGTATTCTTCCACAATTTATAATTGAGACATCCAGGCTCTTGAATTGTGTGCTCCTGCCCAATCCTGAATTTATATTATTTTCAGTCATAGTACAAATGTTTGCCACTACTAAGCAACATCTCCCAGACTGGGCCGCCTCCTGATGTGTGAACTTCAGCTCTTGGGAGTTCCCCAGGCTGAGGAATGCTGAACTAGAGATGTCTGTCTACCAACTTCTGGACATTTTTCGTGCTTCGTGTTTAGAGAAATGCCACTTAACAGAAAAAAAAACCATTTATCTGGTTCATTCAGAGGATAAGGTTACATTTTATATCCAACTCGCTGCAGAATGTCCAGCCCTCCCAGAACCCAAAGAAAATGGACCTCCGCAAAGGATTTTCCAAGCAGTGACCTTCCATTCCCTCCTGTGTGTCTGGGACTGCAAATGAGGATCGTGACTAGATGAACAAAATTTCTAGGTCTCGATGATTACAATTGCCATCTTTTCATTCTCTACCACAATGGAGGAACAATTAGAGACACCCCCAAATATTTGGTGTATGTAATGTGATTACATCGGTCACAATTCACCTCTCTATAGACATTGCCTTAATATGTCAGGCTGAGTCCCATTCAGTTGCCCTTTCTTGCCTCTTTTCAGTTTCTGAAAGTGGAACCGAGGAGACTGGTAGAAGCGACACGTGATCTTATTTTTTGGTTCAGTACGTTGTCTAGGTCGGACAGGCTTCCTCTCAACCAAGTGGCCCCCCCCAATGGATCAAGAATTTCCAGTCACTGCAGCTGGCATGTCATATATTGAGGCATGCCAATTAGTTTTCACACATGGAGGGCACTACTTGGAAGGAAGCCTGGACTTTAGTCTCCATCATACATTCCTCAGCTCCCTTGAACCTGCAATACCACTATACTGATATATCCTGGCTCACGGGTTGCTGCAGGCAGCTAAAACCCAATTGGGAAACGTAACAGACATTAATTGTATTGCAGATTTATTTCTGCACTTCTTTCATTTGTAACTGGCTTTACAAAAATGGAGGTTTAATAAATTATTGATTGCATAATTATTTTCCTTTAGTTTTTTTTTTGTTTTTTTCTTGGTTTGAAGCAATGAAATACCTCATTTCTTGTGATTTCCCTCCCCCCTCCATATAACCAACATTGCTTCTTCACACACTTAAGATACTCCGAAATATTTGTGACAGCTAATTCTAATTCGATAGGAAAAAATGCTTTGGGATCAGGATTTGACTGAGGATATTAAAGAAGTTCTCCCTGGGCCATGTTTTGATAATTTAAAAAAAAATCGCTTCCTAGGAAACAGAATTTGCACACGCTTCCTTAAAATGTTATATTTATGTTGATTTCCCATATGACTTGCTAAACCCTATCCTGAACAGATCAGCCTTATGTGATCCAGCCTCATCCAATTAAACTGGTCTATGATTTCTAGTTCATTTTTTTAAAATACCTTTTCGTAAGTTCTTAGAGTCTAGACCATTATGCTCTTCTCAATGGCAGCTCAAAGCAAAATAGATGAAACGGGCCCTAAGATGAGCAAAATTTAAAACTTCTATTTCCACTAACATTTTTTGTACAGAACTCTAAACTGTAATCCGTTAAACCATAGTAATGAATGGCAAGGCTGCAAGAACAATGAGGTACGTGCACCTCATGATGTTTTTTTACACCTCTTTTGCTTTCATTCTGACCCTGGAGACATGGGCCAGGCTAAACTGAAAGGGGAACAAGTTCACAAGCCATGCAAGGAACAAGAAAATGCACTGTGCAGTATAGATGTATAGATAACCCTGTATTAGACTTCTAATTTGGTTGCCTCTCATTTTCCCTGAAAGACAGCTATTGATTCAGGGATGTGCGGGCAGAAAGATAGGCCTGTGGAAGAGAAAAGTGCCTTTGCTAATGGCAGCACTATCAAGCAAGACAAATTAGTTTATTAAGGGGAAACCTGTAACGTCCTATTAAAACCACACCTTAAAGAAGCCACACAGATAATATCCGAGCGAAAAATACTCTTTAATTTGAACTGTGTTTACATGTTGCCTTCTGCCAGCATGTGGAGGCTTTGCATCACAAAACACTTTAGTAATGGGTTCTCATTTCCATTACTGGCCATCCTTATGGTGCTGAAGATGCATCCATAAATTTCACCATCATTGTCATTACCAGGCAACTCTGGTTTAGAAGCCATCAAAGCATACTTGTAGTCTACAAGAGCTCACAAAAAAAGGCACAGCAAATAGCAGCCAAGAACGAACATCTGGAGAGCAGCTCTAGCTATACAAATGCACAGCTTTACCAACATCTGGGACATACACAGGGAAGCCAGGTGTATTTTCTTCCAAGGAGTCATGGATTGGATTGAGATTAGTTTATTTGAACTCGGGGAGTCCCTTGAAATAAAAAGTAAATCATGAAATCCCCTGCAATTTAGTGAGAGAAATATACATAGACTAGATCTAATTCATGGCCCTTAAAAGGCGACGAACAATTTTAGAAGTAAAATTAGTGAACTGCCAGCTACAGGTCTATAGCTAATCTGGAGAGGTTCACAGGCAACTTTGGCAATAGAAATTTTGGGGAGGCAGGATGGAAGGAAACATCCCTGTCCTGTCCCCAGTAAGAAACAATTCTCAGTCTCATCCACTACAGGAAAGAGGAAAAAAACAGATACTCTCCTGCTCTGCATAGCTCAGCTTCTTCATTTAGGTCCTCTGGCCGTGCTTCCCAAAGGCAGCCCAAACTCAGCTAGAAAGCTCCCAATTACGGAAAGCTGCACTCACCAGACGTGTCCCTTTTTCTGGTCTTATTAAGGAACATTTTTTCACCCTGTCTCCTGGCTGCAATCAATAGACGCACACAGAGACACATGGATACAAACACACTAATCAGGTCCTTGATTGGAAAGCTGCCAAGAAAATGTATGAGGCGTTGAAAGATTCCCCCTCCCCCCCCCAGCAGCAACACAAATGACTACTATTCTCCATTACTTGGGAATGGGGAGTGGATTGGGAAGCCCCTAGGAGGGACCTTCACTCTCGGACACTACTCTACACCATTAAAAACAAGACAGTCAACAATGCTCCAGTTTGGAGTGGTGAGGATTTTCTTGTCCAAATCCAGCAAGGTAATCCCCATACAATTCCTGCAGCACACAGCACACCCTGGGGAAACTCAGCTACAGAGTTTTCCTTCTGGAGGGAGGCACTGACAACGATTTTACAGCCCAAGCTGAGGCTGGCTTCTGTAAAAAGGGGAAAAAAACAGCTCAGGACTGCACGCCTGTCTCCTTGCTCCGCTCAAGAACAAAACTCAGAATGGGCACATTTTGAACAAGGAGTGGCCGCAGAACCTAAGCCCAGGGACTGCTTTGCCAGCAACTGCTACTAATGGAGGAAAGTTGGCATTCAAGAAGTGATGATTTTACGGCGGAGATTTCTAAAGCAGTCAGAAGCTATTGAGAGGGTGGAGTACAGCGCACAAGATAAGATAGATAGCCTTTATTGTCATTTTTTACTGTGGGCACACTGGCACACATTAAAAATGAAATTCTGTTGCTTGCTCTCAAAAGTGTACACATACATAAGTGTACACTACTCCAATACGTAGACGAGATAGGCCAGCTAGCATCACCTTTGCTCCTATGGCTTCTACAGAGAGAAGGAAGGAAAGGTGTCATCCTATTTTAATTAGGGAGCCACACCCACCAGGTGTCTCTTTTTTTCTATATATCAAACCCAAGTAGCGTTGAGTGGGAACTCAAAAGCCCCTTGACAGGCAAACTGCAGCAGCTCCACCAATCCAAGGCTGGAAATCAACAATACACATCTCTACAACTCAAGACTCGACTAGCACGGGATTCTTTCCCCAGAGGTGGGCTGAGGAGTTTGCCAGCACAGCCACGTCACTACAGCAGACATGAGCTCCAGCCTTTTCTCTCACACATGCTTTGCTTTCCTTTCTTAACCTGCAACAGAGATGCTCACTAGGCTTCTTGGTTAGAAAGGAAACAAGTAGTAGCAAAGATTGGGGAAAAGGACGCCTAACTGAGACTGTGTATGTGCTTGCATGACTCTAAAGAAGAGGGAGCAGGGATGATAATTCAAGAGCCCATCACCTCTCAGACTCCTCATTCCTGGCATCCCCTTTTCTCTTGCCCACATCTCAGATGTGGAAGCCTCTGCTGTTTCTAGAGATCAGATGCTCCTATGCCCAGCCTTTCCACTAGCAGCTGAAAGGAGATTTGGAGATGGAAAAGAAGCCTCAATTCAAAGCAAAACTTTCAGCCAGAGCTTTTGCCAGCCCTTTCATAAGACATCAGCCCAAGAAAGTAAGTTTCCTTCCTTGTGCTCAGATGACCAAAAGGCACCATGTGTGGGTGAAGTAGGAGAATAAAATCAATTATAGGAGAAAGGTAGGCTCCCAACCTAAGTGGCAGATACATTTCTGGGCATGCCTTCCACCCTGCTTTGGCTTGGAGAATCCGAAATGTTTTCTTGCCGTATCTAACCCTGGCAGTAGCAAACAGTGCTATTGGCATAGAGAGTACAGACTTTGTTGGCAAGAAAAGCTGGCTCCCTCCAAGATTGATGCGGAGGGTGGGGATAAGCCTGACAAGGAGCCACATACCACATTTACACAACTTCTCCCTGGACAGGCTCAGAAATAAAGCCAGAGCTGTCCTGAGCGAGAGCAGCAGCAGCAGCAGGTCCAAGGACTACTGGGAAAAGATGCCTTTGAAACGGATCTTATCCTCGTCATCTTTCGCACGCAGGCGGGCCTCCAAGTTGCGCAGCTCCCGGGTTACCACTGGGGTCAGCGATGGATCCAACTGCAAAACTTTGGCAAAATCGGCCTGAGCCTCAGCTGCGTTCCAGACGGCTGCGTGAGCCTTGCCTCTCTTGAAATAGGCCTTGACGTTATCTGTGGGGGAAGTGGCCATGTGAATAAGCTAGGCAGGATTCATGGCCTGACAACAGCCTTGATGTTTCTCCTCCCCATTCGTCAGTCTCATTTTAGACTTTTCTACCCTTCAAACCCACCGTGGCTCTTCAATATTTCACAAGCCTCCTTACCTTCATACTTGTTCAGAATAGAAGAGCAGTGATCCAGCACTTCATAGTACTCCTCATTCAGCAGCTTACACTGACAATAATTCAACAATAAAGGAGTGATCTGTTGGTCCAGCTGGATCCAGTCCGGAGATCCTGGTTGCTCCTATGGCATGGGACAAGAGAAAGGGCACAAAGCATGGGTCAGTTGTAGCAATGTCTGTCCACAGGCCAGAACCCTTGTGGGCTGGCCTGGGACAGCCTTTCTTGTGGTGGCAGCAAGATCAAATCCACATGCAGCCAACGGAAGGGACAACTTGCCTCAGCCAGCTCGCCTCGGCCAACTTGCTGCAGGACAACTCACCATGGCCAACTGACCACAGGAAAATTCACTGAGGGAGAATTCAGCAATTCAATTTAATTATTTAAACTAATTTTAAAAATATTTAAACTTTTTTCATTCACATTCCGTTTTGTCCTTTGGCATCCTTTCTTTAATGATTCTATTCCACTATTTCTTCGATGTTAGTGCAACTCTTGTCCTGTGGCGAGTTGGCCATGGCGAGTTATTTTGTGGCAAATTGGCCTTGGCAAGTTATCACAGATCCTGCAGCCAAGTCCTTAGGAAAATATAAAAGATGGTAAATAGGAGCGAGAACATGAGCCTTTTTCCACACAAAACTGCCTCTCTTTCTCTAACAAGGACTACATCACACCTTGAGATGGAATGACAAAGAAAATTTCAGATGCCAATTTCAACAGAGAAAACGTAGGCGAGGAGGAAAAAAACACACTGCAGATTCCATGTTGCACATCAGCCTGCTAGCATCATGTTAATTCTGACTTGGGAGCCTTTTTATGTGTGTGTTCTGATGAAGAGAGAAATTGTGCATATCTTGACAAATTATGTTACAGAAGCCATTCTGGCTGCTGGTCAGATCCTGTCATGGAGCTGCACAAGTGAAGACAAATGCTATTGCTTTGATATTATTATTTGGAGGATACACTCCCTCTAACTAGAACTGGGCCAGGAGTGCTCCAGAGTAGCTGAGCAAAAATGGTTCCAATGGTTTAGCAGGGATCCTCCTTAGTGGTGTGAGTATGCACAAACTGGGACAGGTGCAGAAGCATGTAGGTACATTGTTTCAGATGAGGGCACACCTGGAATTTGGAGAATACTGTACGTGATAAGTACATGCATTCACAACAAGGCTGTCAGGGGAAAATTTTCTGGGAGCAAATCCATTTAGGTGCCCAGGAATTAGCAAATTATCTACAATCCCAAGGGGTCTTTGTTGGGCCCAAAGGTCTTGTTGTCTGACAACAATATGAAATATTGAAAGATCTGCAGAATACCAGTTTCCTTTGCATTTTTAAAATTGAATAATCTTTATAAATTTAGGTAGAATAGAGAACTTGGTGGACCCCAAACGATACACGTGAAGGCATAGCACTACCCGTACCCCCCGTTTTAGGCACAATAAAACCAATGTTGAATAACTAGGAACCCACTGCCTGAACAGAAGAAATCTCATTCACAGACTATTCAATCAAGCACAAAGATTGTTCTGGCCAGGCCAAGCTTTAGCTAGTTAGGAAAATGACCTAACTACATTTGTACCTGCACAATGAAATGAGTTAGGAGTTCTGCTTAATCTAGGGTGGAAATCCCTCACTGATTTGGCATTTGCTGCCCTGAATGTTATACGAGCGAAACAGCCCCCGGAGAGGCACACCATCAGTCACCTTCATTTGCAGGTTCTTAAGGCAAGCAATTGCATCATAGTACTTGGCAGCCGCCTCTTGCACTTTGCCGTCCTTGAAGAGCTCATTGCCCTCCTGGTGGATCAGGGGCACAGCCTTCATCTTCTCCTCGTCTGACATAGCCCATGGATCTTGTCGGTATGTGCCAGGCCTTTCCACCTGGTGCAGCACAAGACAACAAGCAAGGTTAGATCACGGTGCTAGAGAAAGCAGGCCCGTAAGAACCAGCCTGCTTTTGTCACCCCAGGCTCTAAGGTGTTGGAAGAGAATCAGTGCAATGGATTGGGAAAGGCACTGGACTGGCATTAGGGAGACCTGGATTTGAGGGCATTTTCAGCCACAGAAATTCCCTGGGTAACCTTTGACCTTCCTAATCTATCCCCCAAGGAAATTGTTATAGGGAAAACTGGGGTGTGGAGGTGCTGTGCATGCTGCCTTGAGCTCCTGGAGAAAGGAGAGATATGTATGTATCTAACAAATGAGTAAAATAATTGAAAAAGTGTCTCAAAGCTGAAAAAGTGGACGCAGGATAGGAGGGAAAAGAAGGGCTTGCATTACTTCAAACAGCTTCTTTCCCTCAGTGGGATAGCAAAAAGCATGCTGTCTTTCCCCTTAAAATAAGACCCATTAAAATGATGGTAGAAATCTCATGTATTTGTGCCGGGAAAAATTCATTCCCAACTTCTATCTGAAGGCATCTCTCTTCTCCTTGATTTGTGGAGCCATATACTCAAGTAAGTAAGAGACTCCCAAACATACGAAGCCCAATTGCCCTCCCTAATCTGTCTAGCCCAGAGGACCTCACCTTTCCTTCCCCCTCACCTTGAGCACTTCAAAGGCAAAGATGAGGGGCTGGGGGTTCTGCTGGAGCTCATCAAGGTCTTGGTAACCCAGCGAATGATGCTCGTGCATCTGGGCAATGCCACAGCAATGTCGTTGTCCCTCCAGAGGATCTTTCCCAGCTGCAATGTTCCTCAGGCTCTTGGATACCATTGGATATAAGACCACATGCTGGTGAAGCAGAAGAAGGGGAGAAAAATGGCACAGTCAAGAAGGACTAAATGTATTTCCCCAATTAGGAAAAATGAGTGATGTCTACTTGTTATAAAAGAAGGAAACCTAGCGTTCCTTTACTCATGCCAGAGTCAATACTAGATCAAGGTCCCTTTATGAGTCACAATAGAAGAATTTGGCAAGGGCCTTTTTCCTACTTCTGGAAAAGTGGATTCCGGCACTAGGCAGGGGGTTAGGCAAAATGATCTCCAAGTCTCTCTCTCAACCTCACATTGTACAGTAAGTATATTTTTTAATTAAAACTTTTAAACAGGAAAATAAAAGCTAACACAAACTAATGGATAGTAATAAAAGACAAAGAAATAAGAAAAGGCAAAAATGTGCAAGAAAAGGGGGGGGAGTAAAATAAGAAAGAAAAAAAAGATACATTTTGATATTCTTCACAGCGGTTAGAAGTACAAATATATTTTGACCTCTCTCTGAAGTTATATCATGTTACTCCTCTTTCTATAATCTATTCTGTCTAATCATCACAACGATGTCACAAGTTAATTTTTTTTTCATTTTTATGCTAAGTCCATAACAGGCTTTTGGTCAGTAAAATAGATATGTGTTTTCTCTCATCAAAGTTAACTAGCCATTTCAGCAAAATCTTCACCAACCATTCCTCCCTAATACTGTGTTTCCCCAAAAATAAGACCTGGTCTTATATATATTTTTTGCCTCCAAAAGAAGCATTAGGTCTTATTTTGGGAGAATGTCTTATTTTTTCATTGTCTCGCCTCGCGGCAGCGGCATCACTGACAACTCCATCCAGCAGGAGCCCGTGTGACCGCCACTGGCCCACGTGTCGCTCCCAGCTTCCGTGTCGCCGGTAGAGGCCTTCAGGAAAGACCTCTGCTGGTGAAACAGAGGCTGGGGGGGGGCAACACTTGCGTCAACCCCTGGCTCCATTCTCAGCTACAGAGGCCTTTCCTGAAGGCTTCTGGCTCCTGCTGGACAAAGCTGTTGATGACACTGCCATGAGGTGAGGCAGGTGTCGGGGCACGGGAGACCTGGCTACAGAGGTCCTGAGATAAGCGGGTACAGGACATGTGGGGCAGCTCCACCCCCTTCCCCACCTGCCTCGCCTTACCTCGCGGTGGTGGCATCACAAACAACCAGACAGAATGGGCGGGCAGCCAGCTGCGCAGGCTCTTAACTAGGGCTTATTTTGGGGAGGTAGGGCTTCTTTAGGCCTACACATACAAATCAAGCTAGGGTTTCTTTTCAGGGTAGATTTTATTTTCGGGGAAACATGGTAAGTAGTGTCACATCTTTCTACCTCTGAATACAGCAATCTGACTGCTGTGATCATATATTGAAATGATATTCCAGGGTGGGGTTTTTTTTAACTCCAAGCTTACATTCTAGGATTGTATGAATTCTTTTCCAGATTCTCCCCCAGAACAGGCATGAGAAATACCTTTGTGTCACACAAGAATTCAGCCACCTCGCCCTCCTGCATGCTGTGCAAGATGGTTTCCCAGACAGGCAACTTGAATTTCTTGCCGAAGATCAGCTCCATAGGTTTGTCCCGGGCATGACTGTCATCTAGTACTTTCTGATCTGAACTGCAAAGCATTGTGCGATAGTGGAAAGTAACCTGAAGAGAATCGGAAGCAGAACAACAGAGTAAGTCACCTCACTGATCTACCAGAACAGACTGCAGGTAGTCCTTGACTTATGACCATTTGCTTAACAACCATTCGAAGTTATGACAGACCTGCCCAGAGCTATTTACAAACCATTTTCTAAGTTATGATGGTCACGTGATCGCATTTTGGGTACTTGACAACTGGCTTATCTGTATAGCTATTTGCCACATCCCGTGGACATGTGACAATTTGCAACTTTTTTTGCTGGTTTCTGGCATTTATTTTTTGTTTCTGGCAAAAAATGCCCATTGGGGAAAATGAGTTCACTAAATGACCACAGTGCTTGCTTAACGACCATGGCACTCACTTAACAACCCCCGTTGTAAATGCCTTGATTTACAACCATAATTCCAGGCTCAATTAGAGACATTAAGTCAAGGACTACCTGTACGTCAGATACTTTAACTCAGACATATCAAACTCGCGACATCACGTGATGTCATGCAATGTATCGGGATGGTTTCACCACTGCCGGCTATGGGGTGGGCGCGGCTTCCGGATGACACATCCGGCCCGCGGGCCAGCAGTTTGACACCCCTGCTTTAACTCATTTGCAGTATGGAGTTCAATGATGTCATCTTAATATAACATTGTCCACATCAGAAAGACACAGATCATTTAGTGAAGGTGAAAACATTATTGGGATTGTGCAGTGCTTTAGCTCCAAAGCTGCAAAAATATTTTAGAGCATGCATAATTTTGCAATACCTTTCAGCCAACACCTTCTTAAAGAATCTTTAACTTCTCCTGAATTCCTCCAATAGCCTTCAAGGGTATATACACTGGTAAGTTACTGAGGCAGTGTATCCATGCCCACTCCAAAGCACCGTTGAATTCTCCAACACTGGAAGTTTTTAAGAAGAGACTGGACAGCCATTTGTCCGAAATGGTATAGGGTTTCCTGCCTGAGCAGGGGGTTGGACTAGATGACCTCTAAGGTCCCTTCCAACTTTATTATTATTATAACTCAAATGTGCAGTTTTCTTTGATCACGTGCCTACTGTACTAACCTTGGAAAAGAGGTGGCTTCTTTAAGGAAGTGGCAACAGGTATGGCATGCATACCCACATCTGTTCCAACTTTGGAACCACAAAACAGCATTTCCTGAAAAGCAACTAACAGTGATTTTAAAAAGGACTGATGTACCACTATGAAGAAATGGATTGCTGAAGTGGCTCAGCACAAACTAGCCAAGGGGCACACAAGCATACATGTCAAATGGAAAGAAACCCAGTTGGCTGACTGGGCTGGGCTGCCAACTTGCACCTCTGGAGTTGAAAAACACTATTTCGAATGTGAGGCAAGAAAATTCAGTGGGGGGTCACCTTCCCAACAGCCAATGCCGTTGATTCCTACCCTCTGAAAATCCTAACATTGGGGCAAACATAGGCCACTGTGTGGCAAAAATAGTTCAAATCGGTATGTTAAGGGGACAGCTCCATGCACACTTTCCCTCAAACTGATTCTAATTTTTAGGTTAGAGTTTGGAGACAGTCAGCTTGGATTTCAGCTACTTAGATGTGCATGCAAAGAAGAAACTAAATGGAAGCTAATGTGCACCTTGAGATTAACAACAAAAAACTCCCCAAAAGTAAAGGCACCTTTGAACTGAGGTTGAACCTTGGTGGCTACAGCCATCATTTTCTTGACCCTGTGACAAAACTGGCCTGCTGCTAATTTTTTTCAGATTTCTTTTCTTTTTACTTGCCAATTTGATTTAGGGCAATATTTTTCAACCTTGGCATCTTGAAGGTGTGAACTTCAACTCCCAGAATTCCCCAACCAGCAAAGGTGGCTGGGGAATTCTGGGAGTTGAAGTCCACACATCTTCAAGCTACCAAAGTTGAGAAATACTGATCTAGAGCAGAGGTCCCCAACCTTTTGGGCACCAGGGACCAGTTCCGTGGAGCAGTGGCGTAGCGTGGGTTGTCAGCACCCGGGGCAAGGCACCCCCGCCCTCCACAGTGGGCGGTGTCGGCGACCCGGCGGCTCAGATCGGATTCGCACAGCCAGCACTGCAGAGAGAGTGAGTGAGCCAGGCAGGGGCAGAGCTGCGAGTGCGAGCGCGCCCCCCCAGATGTTGCGCCCGGTGCGGCCGGCCCCCCCTGCACCCCCCACGCTACGCCTCTGCCGTGGAGAGGTTTTTCCACAGACCAGAGGGGGTGTGGTTTTGTGTGCTGCCTGTATCCCGCGGATGGGGCTTTGCTTGTTTGTGCGGACCGGTTGCTGGCATGCCGTGGCCCGGTACTGGTCCACGGACTGAGGGTTGGGGCGGTCTAGAGTTCTGATCCTCTCTGGGTCTTTTGTCCTAACAGTAAGCAGGCCATATGAAGCTTAGCAACCAAACCCTGTCAAACTCAGCCAAATGTTATCTCCTCTGAAAATTTCTCCTAAATTCAGCAGTGGCAGCCTTCTAGTGCCAGGCCACCTGTGACATTTCTAATTTTGTAAAACTAGCTAACTCCAGCGCCATTGGTCACGGATGCTGGAATTGTCCAACAACATCGAGAGGGCTGCCGACTCTCCATTTCTAGCTGATCTCCCTTGCTAAACCCAGATTTCCCCAATTTGGTATCCTATAAATGGGGTGCATTACTATTCTCGCTAATGACCCTGAGAGCTGATCAGATTTATCCGTATACAAAATGGGAACGATAGCAACCTATTTACGTAGACAGAAACTAGAGCAGGAGCAAACGAATGAATGAAGACAAATGGGCATCGTTCCACTTCGCTCACGCAGCCTCCCGTCTCCACTCGCCCAGATCTACAACCCATCGCGCATGGGCATTTTATCCGAAACGTTCCTTGCTATTAGCGCATGCGCGCTTCTCCGCCCGGTTCCGTTATTTCCCGAGAGACTCGCGCACAATCTTTTTTTCACCTTGGTACCGTCTTGGTAATCAGGCACCGGTCCCCGGCCTTCCTGCACCAACCGCTTCTGGATCCCATCCGCCCGGAGCTGCGCGATCTTGTCCGCCATGATGGCTTTTCGCCCGATTCGGCTTCCAAGTCTTCGTGTGCTTTGGGATTGCCGAACTTCGCTCGTCTTCTTCCGGAGGCGCTCGTCTTTTTCCGTATCCGGTCTCGGACACATCCGTTAGCTATCGGAACTTTTCGGAAAGACTCGGGCGGAGCGTTTGATCTGACACAAAGAGGGAGAGTTTCCGAATGACGAGCAGACTGCTGGGAAGATAAATCCCTACTAAGCAGGGAGCTGGGGCGGCGGCGGTGTTACTATTATTCAACACTAAATGATACTCTATTAATATAGAGTAGTGTTTCCACATCCTGAGAGGTAGCTGAGCCTCATGCCCATTTTCACTCTCCTTGCCAACCAAGTCCGCCGCCTCTGGAGTCCAGTTCCCTTATGGGCGACCCTCTTGGACATCCCGATTCCGAGCAGGAATCGGGATGTTCGGAATCGGGAGCAGGAATCGTAATCGGGAGCAGGAATCGGGATGTTCGTAGACATGCAAGCCTGGGCTCCAGCAAGCAGATCCCGGGCGGTGGGGTTGGCTTATGACTTCGATGATCATCTAGTCACCCCCTGCCTGTACCTAAGTCAAGCCTTTAGCAAGGGGAGCCCGTCCTCCCCCCCCCCCGTTTTCCTTCCCAAAGCGATCTGCTCCACTGCCCGTCGGCCAGATTGGGGCATCCTTAAGGATGCAGTACTGTGAAGGATGCCGTCCTGTTTTGTTTTGTTTTTGTTTTTCTCCTTAACGAGATTGTGAAAAAGAGGGAAAACAGGAAAAGCGCTTTTTCGAACCTGCCCTTTTCTGAGCTTCCATCAACCACGACGCTGAGCTTATCTATTTGATTGATGGGTTCTGTAGCTTACGTCCTGTTTTTCAAGTTCTCCAAGATCACCATGGATATATGTAGAACCCACAGGTCAGAACGTCAAAACATGCCCTTCTCTAGTTGCCACGAATAATACAAATTCACTGGAAGGGGAAAACACATTTGTAGATAGTGGATGCGTTTCATAAAAAATGAAAGAGAAAATACATGCTTAAATAGATATTAATAAAAAATGCATGGATAAACTCAAGAGTGTTTTTGAACTCTTTCCTGAAAGACCCAGAAAATGTAATGCTTGTTCCTTTGTTGTCTGAAGATCTTTTTTCTCTTCATGTTTTAAATGATTTTGGACACACTTACCAGGAAGTAAGACTGTTTGCACTTCAAGGAATTGTTTTAAGTGAATACATAGGTTTGTGGCTTAAAAAATAATAATAATGTGGATTCTGAGCATTCCTTAGGCATATGAGCCAACTGGGTGATTTTGAGTCAGTCACTCTCAGCCCAACTCACCTCACTGATTTATTTTTTTTTTGGGGGGGGAGGAAAATAAAAGGAAGGAAAATTAAGTGCATTTGCTGCCTTGAGTTACATGCAAAAGCAGGATAAAAATATAATAATTCCATGTTGTGTGTTGTAATGCAAATAATAATTCAATAAACCTAGCAATTGTATGTAACAATTATAATGCATCTAATTTTTCTAAGGAGTGTATATTGAAAGGTGAGAGAGTTCCTACCTACAGGCTCCCTGGCTTATGGAAAGAATTCTTAATAAGAGCCAGAAAGCGGAAAGCAGCAACTGTATAAAGTCAAATTCAAAAATGGAGTTAAATTCATTAAATAAGTGCAGTATGTTGATTTTGTCATCTTGATCATCATGCTTTCTAGACTGCCCATACTGGTTTGTTTTTTTTAGTCTTCTGAGAGAAAAAAAGCTGTTACCTCATGACTAAACAGTGTAGAGAATTCTTCCAAAACCTCATTTGTCCCTTCAAGGTAGACCAGTGTACTTTTTCAAGGCTATAATTTTGCCAACACATCTGGCAAGAGAAATAATGGGGCATGCAGTAGTGAGCAGAATTATATAGGGAGGGAGAAAAGTTTTGGTTTGGATGTTGCTGGAGGAATCGTCTCCTTTCCTCACTGAAACATAGCAGTTTTGACTGACTGAAAAAGCATTTGAAAACAAGGCCACCATTTTAACATTCAACATTTTAAATGTTTCTTTCTCTGTAGAGGTACAGTGAATCAAAGGAAGAAATGCAAGGAATAAAGCATCCACAGTAATCCTATTTCTTTCTTCTTTACTCTGATGATGAGAGCAATTATTAGCAGTTCATTCTGGAGATTTAGGTCAGTAAGAACAGAAACTGATTTCTAACCTTTTTTCCAGCCAGTGCACTTTGTCACTTGCTGCAGGTCCTATTTTTGCAGTTGCCAGTATTTGCCGTTTTAAGTGCTAAGTCCATTTCTAATATGAGTTTACTTATTCTTCTTGTTTGTACAGGGAAAGTAACTTCACTCCCAATGCTTATACCAAAGATGAAACACCATATTTCATCAAATGATTTTCAACAGACTTAACATGGGAAAAATCCTATTTCTGTATTTTTTTAATCCATGAAGTCTATTAGTTCTTCATCTTCTTCTCTACCTATGAATATTGGATTGGCTCTGCCAGTTAATATGATTTTTTTAAAATTTTGAATGCTTATGCATCAGTCCATTTTACCTTCAACCAGAGATTAAGTAAGCCTTCCTCACTTCCATCTATTCAATTGGTATCATAACAATCCATGAAGGGGAATATCAATAATAGCATATAACAATGATTAAAGATTATTATAGAAGAATATGTGAGTCTTTTTCATTCCAAACAGTAACAAATGATATTGATTTAATTTCATTCTCCCCCCCCCCCAGCATTATTCAAAACATCACATTGTTCAATTTTAACTTGGTATGGAACACTGCTAAAAAGTGAATTTTAAAAAATTGATTAATCAGTATTTTAATCTTAAATTCCACCAATACATAGATATAATTAAGGAAAAACACATGGGAATATCTACAAATCTGTAGGTGTTGACAATATATTTAAATAATTTAATGAACTCTTTTCAACAAAAAAATTCTAACATAAATTAAATGCAAATTAGTAAATTTCAGAGAGCGACTGTATCAGATCTTATTTGGAAAAACAAATCCAAACAAGTTGGATGAGCTAATCGAGAATTAAGGACATTCTTGTGTTGCTGTTAGATTTTGGACTTATCTTGCACCTTTGAAATACATTTTGACAATGGATATTCAATGTTATAATGTATAAAATAATGAGTTTTACGTATACTCATTAATTGGCTCCTAAAGAGAATTCATGCTATTTACCTTTTTCACTTAGAATTGTTTTAGTTCTATTCTCTTGTTTCTTACTTCCTGATATTTTAGTTTTTTTATTTTTCTTCTTGATCATTCCAGACTTTATTTTCTCCTTTCCTTAGCTGTTTTTTTAAAATTATTCACAATAACGGCTGGTATAACAGGGATAAGTGATCTCAAATTGCAATGAGACATTTTTGCATGGGTTCAAGTCTCAGAATGCTGATCTACCTTTTATAGTGCAAAAAGGTAGTTCCAGAGAAGTTCTTAGTTTTTACCTTTCCACAGGATGCCAGATATGTCCATTTGTTTGTGTTGGGAATTCAATTGAAATAATAGATAGAATCACAAATTTGAAACTTTTTTTATACCAGTAGCAACAGTATCTGCTAGAATACTGGGCCATTATAGATAAAGGACTGTGGTTTGTGACAGATTAGTATAAAATGTTAAATCTGTGCAGGTTTAACTTGCTGGAGTTCATACTAGCAGATTAAATGGGAAGAGTTTTAGCTGCACTAAATTAAGCTTTGCATTTTAATTGGCTGAAAATCTATTGAACTTGAAGCATCTTGCAAATTTGATCCGTAGTTACAAGAAAGTATTATCAAGTTTGCTGCAGTTTTACTTCCAAAGATTTATAGGTTTGCAATCATGGCCTTTAATTAATTGCATTTTATTACTTTGCTTTAGATCTTATTTGTATCAGAATGTTAGCTGGAATAGCAGCATATCACTTGGTTCTTATGCATACAGACACACACACGTCTCCTTATAGCTTTATATTTAAACATGCATAATGACATGGGGCTTGTTTTCTATTTCAGTATCAAGAGCTCTCCCCTACCTATTGGGGACTTTCCAGATATGGATCTAGAATGACCATTTTATTCTTGGCTCGGGAAGAACAAGAGTAGAGAAAGTTTCAGGATCTGCCACAATTCCACACCTCATAGAGAATTGGTGCTTTTTGTGCTGTAGAAGTGGCTTCTCCACCAAACTTGTTTCTCTCTAGTGTTTGATACAGAATTCAGAAAAAGTAATTAAATACTCTTTTCTGTACATAGCAAGCTATTATGGCAGAATTATTCAGGTATTAATTTTATATTACCTTATGTTTGTTGGGAATAAAAGTTAAAATGTTTCAGGTATTAACTAAATGGGTTTAAACAAATGACATGTTTTTATATGGCCAACAGATATTGTGAATTAATGGATTTGGAACTCATGCGAAGCCTTTCTCACAATGAATGATGCCTTAATATGTCTTCTTGGCCTGTTTACCTGCTTTAACTAATCATAACCTAGATTATTTAGGGAAGACTGAAGAAAATCAACTAGGTTTAATCATTATTTCAGAATGAAAAAAATGCACGTATGACTACTACCAGAAAATAGGTATATTATAAAAAACTAATCCCAAGTAACTCTTTAAAAAAGCCTAATTGTATGTTTTGGGAAGGAGGAAATTTCAAAATTAATTTAACTGTAGACATACGATGGGTTATTTAAAGGTTAATTTGAAGACCTGAGTACAGAAATGTGTCTCAGTTTCCCGAGGGAATTGATCTCAGTCATCAGCTTCTAGCTGCCCCTCCAAGATCATCTTTATTATATGAAGGAAGAACTTTGGGGGCCATACAAGGAGGGTTTGGCTGTTGAAAAACAGGTACAGTTCTCTGACCATTTCAGATTTTATGGTCAGTCAGCATGTACCATTTGAACATCCATTTGTGCTTTACGGTATTCGCTCTGTCCTTGTTTCAAGATTTCATGTGTGTATTTCTTTCAGGAATTTTACATTCTGTGAACCTTCAGCATAAGTTCAAAGGAAGGTTTGCAGTTCACTAATATTAAAGAGTTTCAGCTATGAGAGGAATGCCTATAACGGAATCCACATTCTATTTCACTACATCCCCAACTCCAACCAAGTCCTAATCTCCCTATAACCAGTAGCTAAGGAGGCCTGTGGAGGTTCAATAACATGAGGCTACAAAATGAGAAGTCCGTGTGGTGCTCTTTTATTCTTGGCTCAGCATACCTTTTTTTTTTTTTTTTGCTAATTTGATTTGTAGATCTCTCTTGATGCAGAACTACCATTAAGCTGCAGTACTTGAAAGCAGAATAAAGTGGCCCCAGACTTCTGCTGATCTGAACATTACTCTTAATGCACTTTTAAATTGTTAAATTAGCTTTTAAAACTATTATAGCTACACTACACATGGAGCAGCATCTACTCAGAGATCAGGATGGCCCCAACCTTTTCAGCCTTTCGTAAGGCATTAAAGACCTGGATGTTCCCTCTCAGGCACTTCAGTTGGGAGGCTGAATTAGCCCTTTTGGTGGATTACCGTAGTTTGATGGCCTGTATAGATTGAATATGGAAAGTTAAGACTAGGGGTTAAACTATGTCAAGTACTATTACTATTTTAGAGGGATGGTGTGCTTTGTTATTTTTAAACCTCCGTGCACCAGACATTCACTTGTATAATTGTTTACAGAAATATACCTCAAAAAATTTCATCTCAAATGTAGCTCGCTGTACAAGTAGGTGTTTTTGTGAGGAGATTGACATACAAATGTGCAGTTGCTATAAAATAATGTTTAGCTGCTTCTAAGCAATTTTTTTTTGCTGCTCAAATCTCAACTTATTTCATATGAAAAACCTGCCATATGCAGACACATCAAACTCCAGGTCACGTTAAAAATATAGGAAGGAGACGCCTAGCAGATTAGAAACATAAAATACTGATTTTCACTGACTACAGTCTTGAATCAGGGCAACATATTCTAAGCAAGTCTTTTAAAATGGGTGCTTAATATTTCAGAGCAGGCTTAGTAAATTCCCAGGAGCCAAGTACTGCATGTTTTTCTGCAAGCATAGATGTCAGCTGGAATTTGTACACCAGAAAAAGACTCGGAGCAATCCTCCTCACAAGTCCAATAGCCCGTTGCCATCTCATTTTTTTCTATTTTTCAGGTAAGAAATCCTTTTGAACAATAGAGACCACTGTTTTATCTTTTCCGTCTCTTGCACAATTAAGAAATGATTCTTCCCCATTCCCCCACCCACACATGCCCAAGTCCCTCCTCTTGGTAAGACTATGATAACCACATAACGGTTAGCTCATGAGCCAAGCCATTTTCTCATCTTAATTACGGGCTTTATGAAAGACAGATATAGCTACATTTTGCTAGCTAAACACTCAGCAAAATGAGGAACTGGGGCCATTCTTTGGCAAGAGAGCTGAATACGTATCTACCAGACAATACAATGGAAAAGGACATTGTACTTGGATCTAAAAAAACTCCAGAAAATTCAGTTACATGTTTTCTGTTCTTTTGAACTTTAAGTGAACATAAGATCATAATCTCATTACCAGAGGCTTGAAATTTAGAACCAAATTTTATCTTGAGGAGCAAGTTTTAAGTATCCAGGCTGGTTCCCTCTCAGTTTTCCTCTGAACATTGTAGATGCTCCTTCTGGGATAGTGCCAGATTAGTTTTTGAACTCATGCCATGGCAAAAGCTGTATTTGGATGGCAGTAGCAGAATTAGCCAAGAAATTATATGGATTGCTCATGAAAGGATGATGTTCTGGAGAATCTATAGTAAGTGCACTGTTTATGTCACAGAAACAACAAGTTCAACAGAAAACTAGACTGTACAGTACCTTATACCATTGCAAACTATGATGTCAGCCACCCTTCCTCTTGATATTGGATGACTTTATATTGGAATTTAACCAGTACTTTGGCTATCAAATCACAAACTGGGCTTCCCAAGCCTTCCAATGACAGACAGAAATCACTGAATGAGATCTTCTGGCAGGCTGGACAGGTCAGCCATGCAAGAAAGTAGTTTCTTCAATATGTTCTGACACATTAACACAACTTTGGCACAGCCATAGAGGCTTAGTAAAATGCTAAAAATACAGTTTTGGAGATCCCAAATGATGAATAGGATAAACACTGTATAATATTTGATTTCTGACCATAACCCTCCAACTGATGCCTGCATTTGTAAAATGCAGTGTTTTGAAGATCAATGGATGTTAAGACATAGATTTCACTAGCATGAACCACTCCCCCCACACACAAAAATCATACTTCTGACAAGGTACTTTAAGAATAACTGAAGAACCATTTCTCATTTTATCAGTGAGAAGAATAAAGTCACTAGTTTTAAGCATCATACATGGGTTTTGGGCTATTTAAACAAAGCCATAGGACCCCAGACTCTTATAGGAGTCAAGGACTATCATATACCATAAGGTCTGGAGAACACATTCAGTTGTCAAGAGTTTACCAGAAAGATATATTCCTGAGTAGGGCTTTAAGCCTCTAGCTTAATTCTTGAAGCTCTTAAACCCCTTCAAATTCTAAGCATCTTGCCCAAGTACATCATAGCATGCCAGCACTCATTAGCAGAATTCACAAGTATTTAAGTATTTACTGTTTCTGCATTCCTCATTTCATCAATGGAACACACCATGGGTGTTTGTTAATTTGTTCATATATGTATTCTATCCATCATGCCAAAAACAGCTAGCCTTTTCTAATCTCAAAATAAAATAAAACCACCTTAAATCCCATTTAGAGGGATTGTAAAGAGCAGGCGTTTGGAAATGTAACCCTTGCTGAATTGCTGGTCATAATTATGATTTTATATTCAAACTATATGGAGGCAACAAACTTTAGAATCTAATAGCTCACAATCTAAATGCCCAACCTATTTAGAACTCCTTTGGGGACTGTGGCATGGTCAAATATGGATAATCTTCTCTTTTTTAAAAATCATAAAAAGGGACAGAAAAAGCTCTTGTTCTACCAGATAGTAACACAGATAATACAAGATGAAGACATGGGACCAAATTTATGGTCTATCTCATTGGGTAGCTGGTAGGACCATATTACAAATGTATATCAGTTATGTCCTCCAGATACACTTATAGCTTTATTGACATTATAAAATTCTAATAGAATTTTAAGAGCATATTGAATTAATCCCATAACATTCTGCACTGCCAGTAAGTTTCATGATCACATTTTTGAACAGCATTATTTTCCAGGCACAACTATAAGGGTAACCTCACCTCTTCTGGAATCTCTTGTACCCAAAGTATCCTACTTCGTACCTTTCCATCCTGTGGCAGAATAGTCACCATCGAAAGATGGTTATTTATTTAGAACTTCCACATGAATGCCAGATGAAAGGCTTTTGTGCCCAGAAGTTTCAACACTCCGTTTTTGACTGAAATATTGCACAGAATTCAATTTAGAGTAAAGCTATCCCTCTGGAGGATTATTTGTGGGCAGAATGGGAGAAAAACAAATTAGGCGGCTTTCTCTCTATAACAACATATCTTCCTATTTTTAAACATTTGTGTTGACTCTGGAAGAAAATTTCTTAATCCATACTGTGATCTATTGAAAATGGCATCTCCTTTCAATGGCCATCAAGAGTAAAGCTCCCTCAATCATTTTGCAGAAAAAGTGAAAGATGTTTTCTGAATCTGCTCAGTGGCAGAACACAGGCTCTGGCTGCTTCTTGGTAACGCTGAACCTTCTTGTATAGACAAGCAGACTCATCTTCTGGGCTTAACTAAAGCGAAGTTTAACAATATGTTTGAAAGAATGAAGACTGAGAAATGACTGTGTCTCTGGGTAAGGAAAAAAGAATTGGTCCACATTCCCCAAATTGATCTAGCAGCTGCAAATAAAAGGCACAAGGCCAAACAGAACCCATCTTGTTCCACCAGCAGCTTGTTTCTATAGCTTTGCCACCAAGTCGCAGTAATACCTGGGTAGTATAGCAAGAACATGAGGGGGCGAGAGTATTCCCAACACAGGTTTTTTTTCCCCCTGGAGAAAGTTAAAAAAATATCCCTATTCACAAGCCTCCATTCCCCACCCCACCCACCCCCGCCCACCAAGTGTGGCAGCTTTTTGGCAATTACCCCAATGTTTCAGAGATGGGAACAGGATTTCCCCTTTTACTTTTGTCATTAAGTCATGCTCACAGTCAAGTCCATTTCCCAAGGTTAAATGATTATTTTTAAAAAACTGTATACAAATCAACACACTGCCATCATTCTGTGTATCTGGAGCAGCCACAAAAGGCTGTGGACTCATTGAAATCTCTTCTCTTCCCACATGTATCGTTTTCCTGCAGGCACCTTCCGGAAAAACAGGCTGTTGCCTCGGCTCATGTTGCCCTAAATGAGAAGAAAATGAAGCAGGTGAGAGTCTCGTAGAGAGAGCATCGCGGCCGTCTGAAATTCACACACTATACAGCAGCTGAGGTTTGAGAGCCAGCTAATATGCAATTAGTGAGTGTGTGTGTGAGAGAGAGAGGGGGGGGGAGGTGTGTAAGCTACAGCAGGACAACTTTTTTACTTAATGGTAGGTATGCCCAAAGGAGGGACTCTGCTTTCTCAATTCTATACCCATATCCAAGCAAAACATCAGGATCCTGTAAGGAAGGACAGACATTTTAGACATACCTCCCGATGCAGCTGGCTCCAGCAATGTAACCAGGAGGTGTACGCTGGTGCATAAGATGGGAGGCCAGCAGCGAGCCTAGAAAATAGAAAGCAAGGCTTACAGAATTCACTCACTACAAGGTTTCAGTGCCAGGCGCCTGTTTGAAGATCACAGCTTAGATGCCATTTCCAGCCCAGCCTTTTTTGCTGCACAAGGAAATGGGATCAAGCAGGAGCTAAGGTGATTGAGACAAAACTCAACAGGTAGCCTGACAGAAAACTGCCTTGCAACTGGCTTCTGTATGGCAGAGCAGTCTAATAATCAACACATTATTTACAATGGAAGGGACAGAAATTATAACTTAGCAAATTAGCCAACCACAAACTAAAAGTTGTCCTCACCATTCCATATCGGCATTTGGAATGCCATCATGAAATTGATTGTATCATAAGAGTTAACAAACAGAAATATTTCTTAACATATTGTTATTGGCTTAGGCTGTGCATACTCACCTTACAGTATGTTATACTAAGCTAACCTGCATTTATTTCTGAACAGCCACCAAAGTGCAGATAAGAGTTAAATGGAATTCGCACACAGGTGGAAAGCTCTGAACAGTGGATATTTGGCACAAATGAGAGGACTATCATTTTCATAACCTACTGTTGATTTTACTGCAAAGGTCTCACTGGTCAAAACTGGAATGTGAAACCGAAAAGATCTGATCCCACAAATTTGGAATTTATCTTTTTATTAGCAGAGCTATTGCCACAGAATAATGTATTACAGGAAAGAAACACAATCCAGGCAGTTTCTGGCTCCAGAGTTATTCCTAAAAACTTTAAAGTAGATTCCCATTCCATACAATTGGACAATACCAAATGAAAAAGTCCAAACTATTTTCAATACTTTATATGCTTATATAATGAATTTCTAAAAGTGCGCTGGATTTGCTGCTACCCACAAATCTTAAATTTTTTTTTGAAACCCTTAGCTCTTTCTCCAGCCGCAAATATTTTGGTTTTAGGCAGGGCACTATAAAATAAGTACAGGGCACTGTACTTTTAAATTAAAACTTTTGAGTTCTTTTAGTCATCCCAACAACCTCCTATAAAAAAGTCACAAACTTTTTTTAGCTGGGTTGGCTATGGTATGAACATTCCGAAGAGCAATTACTGAAAACATGAACATTGTGGCAAGGCACAGCATACTGCTAAAATTCTCAATAATTATTGAAGAAAGAAGCCTGAAAAATAAAACTGAGCTTTGTGTGCTGTGCATTTCAAAAGAAAAGAAAGTGAGAGAAAAGAAAGTATGCACTTACCCACAGCTATTAATGGCCATCAGGTTTGAAACAAGTACGAAGGGGTAGGTTAGCATACTGGTAAAGAACTGAAAGTACAATACAGCATGATGTATCAGTGAAAAAGTATATGCCACCACTCTTTCCTCACCCATTAGGCTGAGGACTAATGACAGAATCACCACTAACTATGCCCCGTACAGAACAGCAACTTGATGGACTTAACAGAAGGATAAACTCTTACCCTGATAACAAAGCAAAGGAAAGCAAAAGACTGGCAATTATTTAGCTAAGCCCCCAAAGTAATCTGAACCTAGCAACAACATTTGATACATCTCTAGTGAAGAAGTAGTAAATTCCAATGTTGGACAGAGATTCTGAAGGCTGAAAATTGAAAGTTACCATACCATTCTCTAGCATCCCTCACAAGACCACCAGGACCAAAGGTTTAAAAGTGAGTTATGAGGCTTGTGGTCCTCTCAGAACCTTTTCCCTTTCGTCTATATCAGTGGTGGCGAACCTATGGCACGGGTGCCAGAGGCGGCACTCAGAGCCCTCTCTGTGGGCACGCGCGCCATCGCCCCAGTCCTAGGCCTTCAGCTGGGTTTTATAAAACCTTTTCGCTTTAGGTCTCCGCCACCGTGTGCAAAAAAAAAAAAAAAAGTCAAATTAATCAGTCAATTTCAACTTCTCGTGGGGAAAAAAAAGATCTTGCAAAGTTGGAATTGATTGATTGAACTTTTTAATCCCACCCAGTCTGCCGTTACCACTGCAGCCACGCCCACCCAATGGACCACACCCACCCAATTGGCCACACCCAGCCAATGGGCCACACCCACCCGGCACCCGACAATGCATAAGTGGGTTTTGGGTTGCAGTTTGGGCACTCAGTCTCTAAAAGGTTTGCCATCACTGGTCTATATCAAAGAAAATAAGACAAATTATACACTCACTCCAGTGACAGCCTGAGAGTAACCCTTCATCTCAGTCATGGTGGAGACCTAGAAAGAAGATTCATCAATAAAACACACATTCCTCAATGACAGAGGTCATTCCCAACTTTTGACACAAAGCTAAAGACAATGCCTCCCAGGACTGCAAGGCTTTGGGTTCAAGGCAAAGAGATGCTTCAGTGCATGCAACAGTCTAAACACAGCCCTGTCCACAACTTCTTATACCCAAGGAGTTTTTTCTTAGGGTCATACAGCAGCCATTGAGGGCAATTGGGTGCTGCAAGGGGCTACATTTATTTATCCCCCTGTGTGCTTCCAAATGACCCTTTGCTTTTGTAACCAAAATGCATTGCCTGAGAAAGCCAACTTATCCCCACAAGATGTAGTACTAATATGTATTAGTATATGTATAGGTTCTTAACAGCCACACGTGTAGGTTGTGAACAGAGAAAACACTTGACTTAGCTAATACTCATGAGCTGGGATGTGTAAAGCATTCTTTGCACAGACCATCCTATGCCTGAAACCAATATTTAATGTGGGTGATCTGTGCCTGAACCATAATCCAAATTTTTCATCCTGACACAGAATTGAGAATTGTTTGGCTTGGAAATCACCCCAAGGCAACTGTGCTCCATGTTAGGCATCTGGACATCAGCAGCAGCATAGCAGCAACTAAATGGAGGTATGCAAGCTGTTGGGAAGCTGCAAGGGCAGACAAGTGAACAGACGAGAGGGGAAAGAAGCATGAGGTGTATCAGTCTTGCCTTTTTGCCTTAAAAGATTACCTCAAATTTATTTGTGCTAGAGCCCAGAACAGTATCAGGTTTCAGTTCTGCTGAGCCATGGGCCACTCAGAATAGTTTTGACAGAAACAGAAAGTGTTTGTTCCATGTATGTATGAAACAAACTACATTTTTCATTTTATGCATGTCTTTTGAGGATGCTGCGGCACAGTGAGAATAGGCACCTTCAAGGCCAATACCAGAAAATTGCACTATGCTTTAAAACCAAATGGAGCTCAGCAGTCATTGCAGCTTCAACTAAGGACATAGCCCTCTACAAGCAGAACACTTACCCCATTCTCCAGTGCATAGGTATTGATGAGGTAGGCCAGCATATTACAAAGCCACAAGGACAGGATGTCTCCAAGCAGGCGGGGAATCAGGCCCCTGAAACAAAAACAGCTGACTGGTAATAAGGCTGGATAACTTCAACACTAACATGTCAACATACTTGCTACTAACTGCTCACATGGCAGGAAATTGGTCAACCCTGTGCAAGGCTAGGATGAGCAACACCAAGAAAAAAACACACCATTTTTGCCACCCAGCTTGGGATGGTGCATTGCCTAAGAATTCTGCTTCACCTAAAACATCCAATCAGATGCCTTATGAAAGCAAGCACATAATAGCCTTTCTCCAGTAAATACAATATGCAGTGGCATTCTGTGCTCATTCTGAGAAAATCCTAGGTAAAATCCATCTTATCCCCGCACTAGCTATCATGGCACGAATAAATGGTAAAAACGCACTCTAAAAAGTACTCACGCAAAAAATCCAAAGATGCCCTCTTCCCGGTAAATGGTGACGAAAGAGCTAAACAGTCCGCTGAAAATTGAAGGGGAAAACAATCCATCAAGACTCTACAAATAACATGTGGTTTCCTCTCCCACAGACACCATTACTAATTACATCCAACAGAACGCTTCTGACATCATACATTAATTTATCTCCCAGCCCTCAGTTCCATCCGTTGTACGGGTTAAAACTCCAATGAAGTCAATTTCATTGCAAATATGTGTATACCTGTACTTGGTCTCTCTGCCAATGAATTGCACCATACACCTCAAGGTGATCACTAAAGAACAAGGAGAGTCAAAAGCGAAAAGCTATTGTTAAGGAAGACCTCATCTGTACTCCATCCATTTGCATTTATACAGGAGCATATAATCCCAACATTTTTAACTCAAGATGAATCCAGGCATAATAGCTACAACCATGAATGGTACAGCCTATCTGGTAAAGTGGGTGCAATGTGTGGGTTGAAATAGAGCTCCTTTTGAAAACGTCAGGGTCAGCATCTAGGATTCTTTTGGATCTGAAATAATCAGATTATGGCCAAGAATTTTACTCAGACATTCCAGCCATTCCTACAGATGGCTCATCGGACAACAATGATATCTCCCTGAATTAAACTGTATCTGGATTACTGCAGTGGCATTTTACATTTATTAGGAAATCAGACTGGATAAAATCTTGTGGCCAGGGTGTTCTGAGGTACTGCATTTGGGAGACATAAAACTCTTACTGAATCAGCAATATGTTATTTTAATTGGGAGATATTAGTGGAAGAAGAAATAAGTAAGATTTATGATAAAAGTAAGGAATTAGGATATATTTGGAAGGGATACCTGAATTGAAAATGTGGTTATTTAAAGTTAAATTTGATTATGGTATTGTAATTGCATAAAGCTCTAAAACAGGTTTAGGATTAATAGAAATTTAAGTTAGAAATAGATTATTTTAAATACATTAAGCTATTGGAGGGAAATAGAGAGGGAATATTTGATGTACTGATTGAGTTATTTATATATGTTTTGTTTTTGGATTTTTGATTACCCCAGTACCACGGTGTGTCTTGAGCACTTTGTCTTAAGAATTAAAAAACCAATAAAATTTGTTTTTTTAAAAAAAACTCTTACTGAATCGGCTACTCTAGCTCAGTTCAAAGTGCTATGAGAAGAGATCTCTTTCTGAGGGAGGAAACTTGAGATTAAGGACACCAATAGAACTACCCTACCCCATATTACCTGCCCACCTTTTCAAGTTATCATCAAAGATCTTCTTGCTTATTGCAACATCTCTAGAAACCCATTTCACTGAGGCTCAGGAGAAGAGGGCCTTTCCATTAGCTGCACTCCTGGCACATCCTCCTCAGCTCAGTTCCTCTCATTGCCTCTCTTCAAAGGACATCCTCAAGCATGGGCAGAGTCTTGATTTGATTGTTATGGGTTTGACTGTTACGGTTAAATGTGTGTCTTCACAGTCATTTATCTTTTTAATTCGCTGCTGGCTCCAGTGTATTTGATTACATGGTGGTTTTTAACCCTTCACCTTGTTAGCTAGTTAAAGCTCGCTGAGAAAGATAGGGTGGAAATGTTTCCAATAGTTCATTATCAATCACTGCCAATTGTTTGCGACTTAAAAGCAATGAAGTCGTAAGAACATAACAGGGAAGGTTTAGGATACAGCCACCTCCTGCCTTAATGCACAACCAAAAAACTGATGGTAAAGGGGAGAGAGTTTTTTTTTCTGTATCTAGGAGTTACAACAATACGATTGAAACTGAACTGACAGATTAATCTATACATACCATGAAATGGGTGGGTGACTAGTGTAGCAGCAGAACGCGCAATCATCTCTTGAGAGGTCTAAGGTGAAAAATAGTTGGGAGACATATCAGAAGAAAGGTTAGCCAAAGAAAGGGCAAGATGTCCCATCTACCCAGATTCCAGTAAAGGATTAAGTAACTATTACTCATAATATAATTTGAAGTATTAAGATTAAACATTTTCATTCATTATCATTGCTCTATAGATCAATCTGTTTCAACCACATTTTCAGTTACTTAAGAAAAAAGTCATTGCCCTGCTATCACCTTAGACCAGGGGTAGGCAACCTTGGCTCTTTTATGACTCGTGGACTTCAACTCCCAGAATTCCTGAGCCAGCCATGCTGAGGGGAAAGGGAGAGGTTTCCAAGCTGAGCCATACTGGCTCAGGAATTCTGGGAGTTGAAGTCCACGAGTCATAAAAGAGCCAAGGTTGCCTACCCCCGCCTTAGACAAATATATCCCAATATGTCCCATCTAAAGAATTTCAGTGAGCAGGGTCAAGGAGAACCTTTTCCGCTATGGATCCCTACCCTAAGAAACACTCTACTACTGAAGAATAGAACTGCTCCCCCCTTCTGACTTTCCCAGAAGGGTATTAAAACTTAAGTTTTGCTGGTTGGGCAGGGCTCTGAGGGGGCGCTCACCGCTGGAGGTGATTGACAGGGTAAGCAGATCTCATCCCCAAGCAGCCCATTTCCTTGGTTCTAGTTTTTATATAGCTTTTATATAGCTCTGACCAAAGCCAGAATGTCATGACAGCAAAGAAACATCTCACTTCTGTACTTTCCTAGGCTAACAAGATATTCATGCTTCTCAACTTCATTATGATACAATCTATAGTGTAGGCAAACAGGATGTTGCCTCCTATCTCCTGGTTTCAGAAACAAACAGATTACCATTCCAATTATCCACCAGCCAACAGATTTGGCAGGTGCCAGGTCAGGAATGCTCTTCTGCATTATCCACAGCCAGCCAATCCCCTGATAAATGAATTCCATATCTTACCTCCTTAATGACTTGATCCAGAGAGGATCCAGATTCTTTGCGAGTATTCCCTAATTCCTAAAAAGGCAGAAAAAAAGCCAGTCTCAAAAACCACCAGGTATGGGATCCTCAATCCTCAATACCAGGTATACTATCAATTTTATTTATGAATTCTGCAGAGTCTTCCATTCCCATAGACTGCAGTACAGAACACAGACATGCTCTATCAACTTTAATTTCAAAAAGGAGTTTTATTTATGAACGGACATTATGACATACCTCACTTTGGTCAGCATTTTGGCATTGCTAGATAGAAAAAAAATATACAACTATAAGCTCATAATTTATCTCTTCAATCTTTTATTACCAATAGCATTACATGTACATAATTGCACTTACATTCCTTTCCCATCCTCCTCCTAAGCTTCTTTATTTCAGTGGTAAGCTCTGCAGACCAGATTACATTGGCCCATACATTCTATAACGTATCACTAAAGCACCAAAGGCACCATAAACAAGAATTACAAATTCAACACATAGCTTACCCAGTCAATGAAGAATGCAAACACACAAACTCTGTCAAAATGTAAATCTGACAGAACAACTCAGTTTCTGAGGAAAAAAGGCCGTTGAAGCACTTCTAAGGTCTTAAGCGCAGGTGGGTCACCAAACACCTGAATTCTGATCACATGACCCCAGGAGGACTGCAATGGCTGTAACTTCAGGAACTAGGCATAAGTACCATTTGATCAGCACTGCTGTAACTTCTAATGGTCACTGAATGAATAGTCGTTAAGAGAGGACTACCTGTAGTATAACTTGATTGTGTGCTTCGTATTTGTTCCAATATGTAACCTAGCACTACTATTATAAGCTGGCCTAACAAAATAATTGTAGCTGCAATCCAGATAGACCACAGAAATGTTTAAACATTTTACATTAAAATCAAATAAAATCTGTACACTCTAGGAATAAAAGGCTTTGATGATCAAAGGACTGAACATTAAACTAGTTCAGTGCTAGGAGCTTTGAGCTGTGACATGCAATTCTGGCTTGCAGAATGAATGCAAATTACAGGTAGAGATATGGAATGAACAATAAACTGGACTAGGCTGAAAAAATAGAACCTTATCCATATGTTGGTTTTCAGTGACAATTTCTGCAATAAGAAAGTTGTTAAGAGGTTATTTACAAAATACAAGCAAAAATGGTCTACATTATAAAGCAGTGGTGGCGAACCTATGGCACGCGTGCCAGAGGCGGCACTCAGAGCCCTCTCTGTGGGCACCCGTGCCATTGCCCCAGCCTTGCCTCCCCCCGTGACCCGGTCCTCACCAGCAGCCCCCCTGGAGGAGAGTCACCCCCGAGCGTGGCCCACGTGGAGCAGCGCAGCCAAGGACATGGCAGCCAGGCAGCGTAGACAAGACTCTGCCCTCACGCCCCAACGAGCACAGTTGATGCTGCGGGGCACGGGCAGAGAGCGTTGCCGCCATGGCGCTGCTGGGCTACCTGGACGATCTGCAGCGGGCCCTGGAGATGGTGAGTGGTCCTGCGGGCAGGCAGGATGGGGGCAGGGCAGGGGGTGGAGCCGGGGCAGGACCAATTTTTGGGCACTCGGTCTCTAAAAGGTTCGCCATCACTGTTATAAAGCATTTGAAATCTGAAATATTTTGTATATTAACACAATATACAGCCAAATTATAAAGTACCTGTAAAACTTTACTGTGTACTACAGTGCCAATGGCTCCTGAGCAGAGTCTAGGAGCCAAACCTTTGAAGAGTCCAGCCCTCCCATCAATCTTCATAATGTGTTTTGCTGAAAACAGAAACAGAGGTAAGCATCTGTCCCATTATTCACCCTTCTCCCCCAAGTGCCACATATCTGAATCTATCTCATGCTAGAAAATTCTAGTTTAATTCTGTTTAATGCCATCTTAGAAATGTTGATATTAAGTACATTCATGCCATTGAAATATGCATTGGCTGCACATAACATCTGCAGCAACAGAATCATATCATGTACACTAGTCCTTACCAGACTCTATTATCCACTATAGCAAGGATGAGCAATCTATAGCTCTCCTTATCAACTCTCAACTCTTTATTACTTTGACCAGCATTAAGAAGTAATAAGAATTGTAATCCCCAAACATCTGGAGCCCCATTATCTTGTCATCCCTGCTCAACAGTAACAAGAACCATGAGCAAAGTTAAAAATAACTGGCTTCTTTGAGTAAACATATGAAGAAACAACAGATGGAAATTCAGTGCCTATCATTAGAGAAATGCATGAAGAAAAATCAAATCATGAACAGGCAACCAAGTGAGGGTTTAACCCCAAAATAGCCGAAGACTAGAAACCTATAGTTCAAAACAGATACTCAATCTCCATATTAAACAGGGATTTTTTAAAAAGTTACTGTATAAGCTGCACACTGGGGGAAAATGGGGCATTGCTATAATGTGCATATGCATTTGTAAATCAAATTAAAAATATGGTGCTTGAAAAGATTCTAACCCAGGAAGAAATGTTGACTAAACATTACTAACAAAACACTGCTTACTACCTGGAATTCAAAAGTGAATATAAATACAGTTTTGACATTCTTTTTAAATATCCAGTTTAGATAGGCACTATATTGTTACCTAACTATACTTTTCAAAAGTTATCTTTTGCAAAACCTATTATACTATATCTGATAAAAGTCTTGTTCAAAGGCATGCATTTTTCACATACACATCAGTAACTACAGCAATCCTACTGTGTTTTAGGCAGTTTATTTACAAAATACATACATTATATACTCACCATAAGCAAAGAGACCAGGCAGTTGATAGACTTGCCGACCAAAAATATTTCTTCCCAGAGTTGGAGGGAGGGGTTCATATCCCACCTTTGAAATAAAAGAACCATCCACAATGAACATTATAGCCTACAAATTGAACATCCTCTCAAAGAAATAGTCAACATGCTTTTTCACACGATTAACACAATTATTTCATTAACAAGTTCTTTCTTGTACCAGTGCTAGAAGTATCAATACCAAAAGCACTATAGTTGGTTGTGATTTTGGAATATATGACCAGTACTGATGTAATCTGCAATTCAGTATATTGGATAATAACATTGCTTTTTATTATATGACAAATTTAGAACTCTAGTGCAAATATATGTCTCCTCCAAAGCAATCTTTATCTTCCTTAATTTCAAACAAAATCTAACCACTTCTTACTCTTTTGCAGTATTTTGCTATTAAGATTTAATTAAAGCAGAAAATTTCCCGTAATATATCCCGTTACCTCAAATTGTGTTGTGACTAGGATGGTTAAGTTATAAAACAATTAGATGATTAATTCTTAAGATGAAACTTCTTTGGTGATTCATTGATTGATTTGCTAGGAGCATGGCAGACGCACACATTCCAATTCACAACACAAATTATTTAGGAGATCCGCAGTTTAGCAGAAAATATTATTGGCAAGCAAATACCAAGTTTTCTGATTTCTCACAGTATACGTGTACTACTCATACAGATAATGTTTTCCATACAAAAACAGTCAGATGTTACCCTGGTTCTGAGTGGCCCTTGGTGGACAGTTATACTATTAACAAGTGTCTTTTCAAATTTAAGGTTCAAAGATTAAGGTCAAATATCCTTTGTACTTTTGATTAGAAGTTCTTGTTCTGAAAGCACATTGTACAGGAAGACTGTTGTTCTTACAAAACTATGATTTTCAACCAAGAATGAAATAAATATAAAGGCACAACATGCCAGAAACAACAACCAATGTTACTAAATAAAGAAGTCTGAAATTACTGAGAAGTGGTCTGGGAGTGTCCTTGACACTGCCAATTAGAATAAGAGACTTAAACATGAGGTTCATACAAAACTAGAAAAGTGATTGGAATTTTGAAAATCGGCTCACTTGCAAAGATAACTGAGTGGGACAAAGAAATTTGAAATGGCTTCTGCAATGAAGACTGCCCTATGGCTTACAGTAGGACTTTTATTCCTGCAAGAATTTAAACAAAGTGTAAGCAGTAAACGAGAAAAGCGCAGTGTCATGGATATGATTTTGACTTTGTGGTGTTATCGGGATCGTCTGAAAATCCCACTGCTAGCACTCAACCTATACGGCTGCCACTGTGGAACGGGCGGCTTTGGAAAGCCTCTGGATGCAGTGGATCGCTGCTGTTTCTTGCACGACTGCTGTTATCGTCACACCAGGCTCTCTCTGAAATGTCACAACAGGGTAAAATGGCAGCGCTACAAACTGCTGTGTAAAACATCCGAGACAGAGTGCGGGTCAAAAAGCATCTGTGGCAGAACAGCGTGCGAGTGTGACAAGCAACTGGCAGAATGCCTCACGGCAGCAAAACCTCAGCGGAAGCATTCTTTCTACAACAGAGAACTCTGCAAAGGGTCTAAGGGCACTTGTCCCGTCATGCACCACCATAACTGGACTAAAATCCTGCATTAAGGAAGTTTCTGCTATTACTCGATTGCAAAGCAAGGTTCTTGGAAAAATTAAGCTCTGGGGGGAAAAAAAGATTAGCTGTGGATCCGGTTCCTCAAGAAACCTCATCTCTGACAATATTGGTGTTTCTAGGCAAGAGGAACAGATTGCAGAGGGGCTCCGAATAGAAATGGGGGGCGGGGGGGGGAGAGAGACCATCGGGAAGAGCTGATTCGTGTATATATATCGGTGGCTTCTTTACTACTTGTAGATCAGCGACTGTATTCACATCGGAACAAGAGAAGAGTTGACCATCCAAGCCAAAGACAAATAAAAGGCCCCGAGGGTTGGGGTGAGCCTGCTACGGCGAGGGTGGACAGCGACCCGGAGAAGAGCGATCGCCGACGAGAAAGCAACGTCAATCTCCCCGAAGAGGGCGAGGGTTCAGGGTGGTCCCTCCCTCCCGGGCGTCCCCCTCTGACGCTCTCGCACGAGAGGAAAAGCCGGCGGGGCCAAAGGTCTCACCTGCACTAACACCTTCACGTACATAAGCGGCTGCGAGAGCACCGTGAGGCCGGAGCCCAGCAGCACCTGGGAGGTCGCGTCCGCCATGCTGCAGCCGCACCGGGCTCCGCCGCGGGAGGGGGCAGCGGAAGAAAGGGCCGTCGTGCCAACACCACCACGTGACCTGCGGCGGAGGACAAAAAAAGAGTCTTCTACCGCCGCTTCTTCGTTCCCTCTTTCGACCAGTTCCGGGTCCAAATGGTTCCGGTTTCCGCCACCTGCAGGGCAAGCTAGGCCCGAGGTGGGGCGGGGAGGAGCCGACGCCTATAAAATCGGATCTTCCGATTTTTTTTTTTTAAGAAATGTGACGAATCTCATTGGCTCAGATTCCCTTAATCGAATTATAGATCTGTGTTTTGAAAGGTGTCTTGGGAACGGCGATGGCGGTCAGCTGCACACATTTGGCGTTTCTGCCGATCTGGCCTCGCCTTTGTATTTCGCTCTGGGGAGTGTATATGTATGTATGTGTGTGTGTGTATGTATGTATGTATGTATATATATACATACATACATACATACATACATACACACACACACACACACACACACACATATATATACATACATACATACATACATACATACATACATACATATATATATATATATATATATATATATATATATATATATATATATATATATATATATATATATATATATATATATATATATATAATATATATATATTCCATCGCCCAATGAAAAACGGGGCGTTCTGGAGTGGTGGGATTGGGGTGGTGGGTTAGAGGAACCACCAGCGCTCTTCTTCCAGTTTCGGGGTTGCTCGTCTTGAGGTTTACGGGCCGATCTAAATTCAAAGAAAAATGCCTTGTGACACCTTCAGTTTAAGGAAACAAAACTGATCGCTTTCTGTACATCTTGCTGTACGTAAAATAACCAATTGCTAGTTCGAATGGCCCTAAGCCAACAGAAATGCCTTCTTTGCTGGCTGTGGTCATTCTTGCTTATAGGCCTGTAGGTCTTGGCATACAAATTAAGAAATCCCTCATTGCCATTTAATTCAGTCGGATCTATTTTAAAGTAAATATGTGCAAGATTACAATGGGTGTGACCTAAACCTAATTTAGCAAAACTCACTGTTGCTGTTCTATGCGGCTTTCAATAGTATTTTCAGTTTTCTCAAGGTTACTGTAATAAACGGCTTATTTACAGGCCAGCTGTATACCTGCCCTTTCAAAAAATATTGTTGAATTCAAACAATTCAGTGTAAGTCAATAGAATATTGTTGCTTTAAATCCACATCACATGTGGGCTTTGGTAGTTTGTCATGCAGATCTTCCTGCCGTCTCCATATGTTTCTGGCATATTTCACTATACAACCCAAGCTAGTTGGAAAAATCTCTGCCTTTTAATCTGGATTTCTTGTGCAATTATAGACCTAAGTGCAGCAAATATTAGATCCTTTTACTCAATATTCATTTTTCTTTCATTTTTCTCTTGTGCTTTGCAGAGTAACCCAGTAAGAAAATCAGGTTTTCTTGTTTTTTAATTGCATCATGCCTAATAATGAAAAATATGCTGTCTTCAGAACAGTAGCAGTTGCAGCTGAACCATTCTCTACCTAGCTGAACCTGAAAAACTCTTCCCAACAAGATGACAATAATGAAAATTGTAATGTTGTGGTATGGCATGTCAAATAGATTTCTATATGGGATACAAAAGTTAAAAGTATTAAAAAGCTACTCCCAAAGTTATGCAACTGTACAAGAAAAAAATGGGTGGTTGACAAATACTTCCTTTGGCAAAAAATGTATGTTGACACAAAAAATGTAAGAAATTTGAACGATTGCTATGCATGGTCTTTTGCATGGCAATCCACTTATTTGCATTCGTATTTGATATTATATGGCTCTCTTTTCTACATGCCCCTATTCAGATGCAGGTCTCAATGTGCAGAATGTAGAATGAATGATTTTTTTTTCACAATCTCTAAATGAGGACATCTGTAACTGACAAGTGATTTCAAAAGCTACATGCCATGTGAATGCAATTTTTTTATTTTACATCAATGAATAGTATCCATTTTAAAATAAATAAGGAAAGTGTTTAATAATATAGTTTCCTGGATTTTATTAATTATTGGGAGTATTCATCACAATAGAGGAAGTACTGAGTGAAACATACACCCTAGGACTCAGATACAATACTAAAATCGAAGTGGGATGTTCTAAAATGTGCACCAAAAGAGATCAGGAGAGCTGCTTTTCACTAAGGACAATGAATGCATATTAACTAGTATGGGAGGAAAAATTTACACTGATTTGTAAAAACAATTGAATAAACTGTGGGAACAATCCAGAGAAAAGAAATATTTTGGGGAATATTAAAAAGGCAGAATATATTTCCCCAAAGGAATAATGGAGATCTTTAAAAAAGGCAGAAACGTCTCCACACACAGGAAGGTTGGAGCCCTCCAGATAGAAGCTAAAGAGATTAGGAAGACAAAAGACCCTTAAAATATATATATCCCACGCAAATTCTAAGGACAGGAAATATAATAGGATTAACCCACCACCATCAGAATACCAGAAAGGCACATTCAAACTCAGGCCAAAGTATATGACACAGGAAATACAAAGCCTCAGACAGGAACAGGAAACAACCTCAAGAGCCCTAGAAGGTATAAAAACCCACTCCCTACTACATGTGCTCTCTTCTTTTTCTAGAGCCATCTTTCTGTCTGGCTCTCGTCAATAAACTACAACCTTCTTTCTAAAGCAGTCTCCATGTTGTTTATTCCCAGCTTGGACTCGACCCTGATGAAGATTTTTCTTTCAACAAAACATTCATAAAATAGCAAAACACACTTAAGGGACACTCAGTTTTATCAATGTTAAGTTCAGTTACGGCATTCTAGGCATTATATTACAGCATTCTGCATAAGCTGTGCTGCTTTACACTCTCATCATTGGAATAAAGTGGTGCCACAACACAGAAAAAGTAAGGGACTTTTCTCTGGTATCTTCACTTAGTATCAAGGAGGACTGTTTTACTTTGCCAAGTCACTTTGCTTCAATAGAAATGTCTTCATACAATTTTACAATGACCAACAAAGTGGCTGTGTTGCAATGTTTAATTCTACTCAGCCCATCTGAAAGTGAGACACACAGAATTTCTATACTATATGAATATTTTGTTCATTAATATTTGTTCTGTGTTTTTCCTTAAATTGGTCAAATTTATTTTACAGTACTGCTATACTATTAAAGACTATTACTACTATTAAGTCTAATTATAAAGACAATAAAATAAGATTTAATTTCTTTTTTAGAAAATAAATTGGTGTTTAATTAAGAGATGATTAAAAACTTTGTTTTTGAAAAAAAAACCTAGAAAATATTTCCAAAAATGGTCATTTTGTCAATAGGAAAAAATGCCCAAGGATGCCAAATGTAATCAGATATTTAGGTTCTTTGTGTGAATTAATTTAAATTTGGCCCATAAATCTTCCATGTCTTTTGGTTGCCATTATACTGTTTTTCAGTGAAACATGACAGTTAGACCAGGCTTATTATGTAAAGTTCTTTAATCTGTAATGTGAAAAATACAAAAGCAAAATAATATTTCTGATACATTCATGTACACTACTTTGCAGCACTGTACTTATAATTTGTCATTTGTTTAATTTTTTTTAATAACAGAACAAAACCCAGTCTGTATAAGTTTTAAAACCTGTTAGCCTTTGTAAGTCACATACAAACTTCATTAATATTATACTAAATTCATAACCAAATACAAGTTCCAATACATGGCTTCAATAAATATATTTTAACAGAGAGTTATTTAATTTTGCCCAACTTTAAGAACATAAACATTATTTTATGATCTCTGCATCCTCAGCACATTTTTATGTATTCTAATGTATACACATTTTATTTTTTAATTATGAGCTAAGGCAGTAATAAAAGTCCAGGTCTGTCAGTGGACTCCTAAGAAATAGGGGAGTGATACATTCACCCAAAGGATAAAAATGCAGTAACAGTTTTGGCTTGCTTTTTGTGCATTGTAGCAGTAAACAGGTGTATTCTTAAATCAATCTATGAACAATAAAATTGAATTTGTAGACTTTGCAATTTATCCTTCATCATAAAAAAGAAAACCTTGTGCATACATTAGTTAGGCATAATATTTTTCCTACTAGAAAAAAATTGAGTGACATTCTGCTGAAGATGAGGAAGTTTTCTAAAGCAACATTTGCCAAAGTAATATGAGTTCAGTGGAGGAGGAGATATTTATAAGAAGAATCAAGAAGGAACAACACTTAACTTTTCCTTTGTTCACTGAATTTGTACTAAATTCATGTGTTGATTTTTCCTTGAGCTGATTTTGAATCTCATTAGGGAGCAAATTGTTAAAATAATCAAGAGGATATGAAAAAAATCAAAAGTTCTAATAGGTTCATGACGCTTCCTACTGACAATTCTGCTTTGTCACACAAATCTCCCTCCGCACATAGCCCACTTTATTTCTTATCAGCAAAACAAATAGGTGGGAAATCTGTATGCAGCTTGTCTTAAGTTATCTTAAGATATTAATGAAGGAGGAAAACCCCTGCCCTTCAGAACAGTTTGCTATTAATCTGTGGAAAGAAGAGAATTTACTCTCTTCATCATCAAGGCTCCAAGTTCTCATTCGCTAAAGATGTGCAGCAGTCTTTGCACTAAGGTCTTGTAACAAAAAAATCAAAACAGGAGAGTACCTGCTTTCAATTGACCAGCTATTATCTCAGTGTAGCTTATTAAAAAAATAATAGTTTCATGGCTCCTGGTACACAATGCTTGGAATGGTTTCTCTGCTATCTTGTGATGAATATTTTTGACCGATTGCTTTTGGTAGTCCCTTGGTTTTGGCACAGTATTCATTCTCCGCCCTCAGAAGTATGGGGTCAATTTGGAAAGGCTTCCAAATGAATTCTCGATGAGGAAGAACCTGTGACCTGCTTTGACCCAAGTGCCACCTAGGTCTGTTGCCTAAGAGAATCTGAGATTTCAAGGAGAGACTTCGACGTAGCATTGAAGTCACAGAAGGTACTTCAGGGTTCCACCACAAGGATCTAAACAGGAAGTGGGGGGGAGGGTAAATAAGTTTATGATAGTAAAAAACAGTACATAACAATGTTTTCAAATAGATGGCTCATACCACTACCACAAAATATACTTTACAGATGTTCCATCTTTTCCTCCTCAATGGATTTTTGAAAAAAAAAGGGTAGAACAAATGTTGGCTGCATTTCCTCTGCCTTTTTGAAGTACAGGCTCAAGGGGATTCTCGTTTCTTCACAGAAACTATGGTACTGGGGGCTGAAATGTTTAATGATTTTCCTTCATAATCCCCTCCACTAATTATGGTTTGTCTTTAGGGAGAAATATTGTTAATCACTTTTCCTTCTGGAGAGTGTAGTATTTTGATAAAGAATATAGCAAAAGAATGGTGGAAAGAAGAAAGACATTTCCTATTACAAATACTGGGAATATATATATAAATAAATAAACTCAGAGCCTCAGAAGCAAAACAGGACCATAGAATGGGTGTGAATAATGTTTAGGAGTTAAACACTCATTTAATAATTTTAGTGTATTTCTTTAAGTGATAAATAATGTGATGTCTATATAAGTGGACAACAATATCTCTAGTAAATATCCTGTTCACCATGCCTGAATTCTAAGACCTTAAACGTAACTGTAATTGGTGAAGGATGATGTGTTCTTTCATAAATAATCTCACTTTTTAAAATTTATTTAGGGTTGTAGGGTGGCATCTACCACTTAAGTCTAAAATGCAAAATGTTGCAAATTGTCAAGTGCAAGAAACCTGGAACAGACATTTAGTTCAAAGCACTTAAAAGTTTATTACACAGATAACAACAAAAATATTGAAAAAAAATATGAAACTAGCTTCTGCTGATCTTCCTAAAAATCAGTAGTTTTCAGAAAGTCATTATTGAATTCAATGGCTTTTATAAATCATTAGGGGATTTTATTAATAAATATTTAATTTTCATTTGGTTTTGGCCAAATGTCAGAGGCATCAGATATTCCTAAATTCCTAAATAGCCTATGGAAAAATATTGTGGGATGCTAATCCTGAACTAACTTAGCTTACATTTTCCACCCAAATAGATGGGAATTGCTTCCTCTGGTTTGGGGCCATATGTAGGGACATTAACCCAATAGATAGTCTCTGTATGTCTTCTATCCCTGCGTATCTATATAACGAGAATATACATGTTATCCTCTTAGAGCATAAGAGCTTATTCACCACAGTTTTCCAAAAGCCTGCAAGCTCTGCAAGGAAGAAGAATTAATGGTGATGGAGGAGTGTGCCTAGATGAGTGAGTACATATTGAATGGGCACGTTTGTTTCATGCTTAAGTGCAAGTGAGGAAAGAACCAAAGAATCTGATGAACAGCAATGGTTACTGTACACCAACAGTATTCCTATTCAAAGCTAAATACCTAATTTCAAAGGCACACATCAAACATGGAGCAATATATCAGGACAATGTTAGTTTTAAAAAGTGCTTTAACTGTTCAAGGATTAAACCTCAGTGTCTGGGGCACACACCAGTGCCATTTCACTAAACACTCATGATAATCTCCAAGAGTTAGGAAATGGGAATACCTGTACCGTTTGACTCCAGGGCAGGATGGTGGAAGAGAAGTACCTATAGAGAAACAAAAATACATTTTGGGAAAACATCTGCAAAATCATAAAGTAATAGCAGCAATGCATTTTTTTCTAAGAGCCTTTTCTCTATGTAGATGACGAGGTTGCAGTATTTATAATAGACCAGTTTTTGCATTTACATAGCCCATAGTACAGAACTGGTATCTGAATGGCATTTTAATTATAAACAAATGGTCATGCTTTAGTCCAATCTTTGTATGTTTTTTTTAATCTGTTGAAATCTTTTATTATAATTAGCCACACTTCCAGTAATACTTATCTCATTTCTTACACGTTCCACAAAATTTGCTAGTCTTTCGGTATATGCAGCTTCTCATACCTGCATCCTGTTTCCCATTAGGTTCTCCATTGGAATGCCCATAAAATGGAGCAGGAAGCTGTTTGATGGTTGATGTTGTGAAACTGTGTCGCTGTATTGGTGATAGAGGAATCGTGGATATCAGGAGGGGGCTGGGATTCTTGATCCTGAACTCACATTCAGTCAGGGGAACCATCTGTTTTCCTCTAGGAATCTCTATATAGCCGATATTTTGTAGAAAGCACATATCAAATGAAAGGATCTCAAAATTCTCTAAAATATACTTTTCTGGAATCAGAAAAACTCTACCTATTCACTTTAATATATTCCAAATAAAATACATTTGCATAGATATTTGATGATTCAACATAATACAGCAAAGTCTTTTTGTAAGAACTGAACAGTGTTGCCCAGTTAGCAGTCTTGATAGGATGATATTTCACCACTTTTTTTGCTCTGCTTTGTCACAGGCAAAAAGTGATATTGAATAAAGTAGATATTTAGTACTGACCACATTCAACATTATCTCATGCCCAAGGTTGAGAAGGAATATGTCTACAATTGTTTTCAAACACAAAAACCACAATTTCTAAACTCAGATCTATAAATCATACCATGGCACTCTCACTGGATTATTCTGAGTGAGGTTTGAGGTCATACTGTTCCAAAGATTTTTTATAGAATCTCTGTTTTGAACAAGGGGAAAAGAGCTTCAAGGCAGGATTTGTACTGCTGTCAGCATGTTAAGCCATGAGCCGTGGTTGCGCAGTGGTTAGAATGCAGTATTGCAGGCTAATTCTGCTGCCTGCCGACTGCCAGCAGTGCAGCAGTTCGATTCTCACTGGCTCAAAGTTGAATCAGTTGACTCAGCCTTCCATCCTTCAGAGATCAGTAAAATGAGGATCCAGATTGTTGGGGGCAATAGGCTGACTCTATAAACCACTTAGAGAGGACTGTGAAGCACTGTGAAGCGGTGTATAAGTCTAAGTGCTATTGCTATTGCTACTGAATGCTCTCAAACAATAATAGTCACTTCATCTTGAAATATGTAGAGGCCATTTTAAAAAGAATATATTATGTGAAAGGTTTGGAAGGGAAATCAACCACCAGTCTGGATGATGGTTGCAATGTGATATAACCAAGTTTATTGCTTATTTGTATGAAACTAAGAGGCACAAGTACAAATGAATAAGATAAAGATGCTGGAACAGGGAATTTTGATACTAGTCATAATTTCACATAAACAAGATGAATTTTTCCACAATACATGTAAATAGCTGGGATAGTGCATTCCCCAGCAGACCTAACAGGATATCTAGATAAATAACTTACCTTGACATTTTTGACCGTTACTTAAGTTTTCTCCCTGCAGAAATAAAGACTGAATTACCCAGTTGGCCCTGTATCAGACAAATGTAAGTCTTAAGTCTCTGCTTTTTTTATGTTACTAATATATTTGCTGATATGTTCAGTTGTTAATGAACATTACTTGCCTTTCTTGCAGTTTCTTTACTGTAGAAATTATGGCAAGTTTGAAATAGTATTTACAATGTTAAAATTGGACATAAAATTTTAGACATCTATATTCAAAGATACAAATATATTTATATGAAGCTTACATAGATTCAAATTAATTAATTTTGTATTCTAATGGAAAACTTTTCTAGTTGATTACTTCTATCCAATAAAGCTACGTTTGACACAATTTTATTTGCTTCTTACCAGAACTTTTTCCTTGTGCTTTAATGCAGGGCTCACGGCAAATTTCTGATGCAAATCATTTCTTTCTTTCCTGGTTCGCAGAAGTTTCTTTTTCTTCCTTTTCTTCTTCTCATTACAGTCCTCCAAAAAGAAATGCTCCAATAATTAAATATATCAAGATCAAATTGTGACACATTAACCTATGTCAAATCAGCTCAATCTTTACAAAAATTGTGCATAAATCTTTGAACGCATCAAAGTGGTTAAAATATGTTTTTTGGGGTGGAATAGGAAAAACATGATTAAGGTTTTAGTCGTGTTAGCGCCAGGCTGGACTATGGGAATATTCTAAAGACATACAAATTGATTCCTATGCTGTGTAAAGATGGTGTTAGCTTTTCCAAAGCTTTCTGTGATAAATAAATGGAATCCACTGGAAAATATTGTTCTGTTGTTGACATAAATGGATGGGTGAGGAAAAAAAATGAAAAGTGAGATAAACAATTGAGTTATTTGGAGACCAAGAAAGGATGAGAATGGTGATTGTTTTATGAGTATCTGCTTAGTAAAAGGTCAATTTATTTTGAATATGTGCTTAATCATGACTATATTCATGCACAGGTATGGCAAAGAAAATAATCTCATCGCATGATTGATTTTATTGATTATGAGATAAGACAATAATATAAGTGAAGAATAGAAAAATAATTAAAGGTTCTGAATGTGGATAGACCAGTTTTTAGTAAGGTCAAGACTGGACCTTGTGAAAAAAATGATATGAAAAAGTTATTGAAAGAAATTACAGTGAAAATAGACCACCACAGGAAGAGAAAGAGTTAAAGACAGACAGTCAGACACACACACACACCTATGGAACATAAGTGGAAATGTGACAAATACTTGGAACGACACTCTTGTTGTCTTTTCATTTGTATATAATAACAACATTATTCTAAATGTCAGGTAGAGGTGCAGTCTTCACAAACACATTAAATATCATCCCATAAACAAACCACATCCATATTTTAGCATGGTCTTCTAAATGTTATATAGATTGTATGATGCAATAAGTTAACTAATATATCAAAGATGAAGTTAGTGCTTCACAGAGGAAGCAGAGTGAACAATCACATAGAATCATAGGGCTGGAAGGGACTTTGGAGATTTCTAGTCCAACCCCTTGCCCAAGGCAGGAATCCTTATACCATCCTGGACAAATGGTTGTCCAATCCTTTCTTGAAAATCTCCAGCAATGGAGCACCCAGCTGTGCCATTGGTTAATTGTTCTCATTGACAGGAAATTCCTCCTTGGTTCCAGGTAGGATCTCCCTCTGACGAGTTTCTACCCATTGCTGTCTTGTCCTACGGTTTTGAGTGGAAAATCATGATCCCAGACGGTCCAGCTGAAGAAACAGTGGACCACCTGGTAAGCTGCTGCAAGAAGATCGCACAGACTGACTACAAGCAGCAGCATGACAAAGTAGCAACAATGGTGCATTGGAAGATCTGCAAGAAATATCATTTGCCTGTAAGCAAGAACTGATGGGATCATAAAACAGAGAAAGTTATAGAAAATGATAAAATTAAACTGCTCTGGGACTTCAGAATTCAAACAGAAAGCACCTGCAACATAACACCCCGGACTTAACAATTGTCAATAAGAAAGACAAAAAAGTCTGGATAATGGATGTGGCAGTGTCTGGAGACAGCAGAATAGACGAGAAAGAACTGGAGAAGATAACAAAATACAAAGACCTACAAATAGAAATAGAACTGTGGCAAAGGCAAGCAAGGGTAGTACCAATAGTAATAGGCGCCTTGGGTGTAATCCCAAAACAACTAGAGCACCACTTGAACACCATTGGCATTGACAAATTCGCCATTAGTCAATTGCAAAAGGCGGCCTTACTAGGAACTGCTTCCATCCTGCGACGATATCTGTAATACCATCAAACATCCACATCTGCCTATCCCAGGTCCTTGGGAAGGACTCGATAGGTAGACAAAAATGCCAAATCCAGTCTGAACATCTGGCTGACTGTGCGATGATCAATAACAATAACAACAACAACAACAACAACAACAACAACAACAATAATAATAATAATAATAATAATAATAATAATAATAATATAGAGTTGGAAGGGACCTTGGAGTTCTTCTAGTCCAACTCCCTGCTCAGGCAGGAAACCCTACTACTTCAGACAAATGGTTGTCCAGTCTCTTCTTAGAAACTTCCAATGTTGGAGTATTCACAAATTCTTCTGTATTTTATATTTTTTAATTCTTCCAATTGGAATTATTCACTGAAGATGCATAGCTCTCACCTTTTCTACCATCTTGAGCAAATGTGCAGGAGGGCCATCTGATTGGGAGCTGTCAGACCCACTTGTGCTAATTAAAAGAAAAGAGAAAAGCTATTCATGTGATGCACAATGACAAATATTGTTATTGTTTTGCTTCTAGCAGCCTAATTTTGCTAGGAAAGCTTAAGTACTAGACATAAACTGTCTCATTGGATAGGCCTAAAACTTTAAATCATTCAACCTATCTTCATCATCAAATCACTTGTAAGGCATAAGCCCTTAAAACTAATTATGTGGTGAGTATCCCTTCCCTTGGGTTGCTTCTCATGCCTTTGTGGTGCCAAAGTTATTTCTGATTCAAGCTGCATGGCTGTCTGCTAATGGAATTGGAAAGATCGCACAGATGTTTCTTAGGTAACCTAGAGAGTAAGGATTTTTTAAAATAATTACCATGTCTATCCATGTGACTTCAATGCCCATTAGTATATTCCTTCAATGTAACATAATACATACATTAACAGTTCCTATGAAACGAAAAGTGCCAATGAAAAGAATGTACAGTATGTGATTCAGCAACATCTCTAAAATCAAGCTGTTGAGTAAGACAGCAAGTGAGGTTGCATTGATGTTCTCAGGTAGCTGGATACTTGAACAAGATACAGCCTCAAATAGGTACAAAAGTATGAAGAGCAAGATAAGAAAAAGAGCCTTCAGAGATGTAGCTCTTGTTTTAAGCTTTCCTTTTCTGAATAAAAGAGCTAAAAATATTAGCAGCATGGTATCCTCTGGCGTGATTATTTTATAGTCTTGGAGGATAGAAAAATCCACAGGGCATCTCACTTTTACAAAATCCCTTATCACCAAAGGTGGGAAGATTTGGATTACCTGGATTCCACATCAGATAGAGAGATGTCACTCCAAGTGCTTTCTGTGTTTTTACCCAACTCTGAGAGCTTAGACTGGATTTTTTGTTTCAGTAATTCCTTAAGCTCGAGCAAGCACTGCTGAAACTAAGAGAAGAGCAGAGAATTCTTAGACCAAATGGAAAATATTGTTTGGCTATACGCTTTATTTTTTTTATTATTTTTTTTAATTTTTATTATTTAAACCGACAAACAAAACAAAACAAAACATAATACACATATATACATAATATATATTTTAACATCAACTTCGTAACAGTAATCTTCTATTATTTACATTTTCCCCCTTATTCTTCTTTAGAGTATTTATCCTTATTGCCCCATTATTTCTTATTTGCATTTTTCTTCCTTCATACATTATTATATACACATTTTCCACGTTTAACCTTTCCACATTTATTCTCTCTTATTTCTACTCTCTAGCCCAGTGATGGCGAACCTTTTAGAGACTGAGTGCCCAAACTGCAACCCAAAACCCACTTATGCATCGTCAAGTGCCAGGTGGGCATGGCCCATTGGGTGGGCGTGGCTGCGGTGGTAATGGCAGACTGAGTGGGACTAAAACGTTTAGTCCCTTTATTTATTTAATCTGATTTTAGAATAGATATTTATTGTGATTTTTATTATCGCCTGTTCACTGCCCTGAGTCCCGTAAGGGAGATAGGGCAGTATACAAATTTAAATAAACATAAACATAAACAATCAATTTCAACTTTGCAAGATCTTTTTTTTCCCCGCGAGAAGTTGAAATTGACTGATTGAACCTTTTTTTTTTTTTTTTTTTTTTTTGCACACGGCGGCGGAGGCCTAAAGCGAAAAGGTTTTATAAAACCCAGCTGAAGGCCTAGGACTGGGGCGACGGCGCGCGTGCCCACAGAGAGGGCTCTGAGCGCCACCTCTGGCACCCGTGCCATAGGTTCGCCACCACTGCTCTAGCCAGTCATACCACTTGCTCCATATTAAATAATATTCTGTGTCTTCTTTTTCTTTTATCTCTTTTGTTAATTTGTCCATCTCAGCACAGTCCAGGATTTTCTTTATCACTTCTTCCTCTGATGGTATATTCTCATTTTTCCAGAACTGTGCGTATGCTATTCTTGCTGCCGTTGTTATATGTAGAATTAAATACCATATTTCTTTACTATATTTCCTGTTTAAAATACCCAGCAAAAAGATCTCTGGTTTCCAGTCTACCGGTTGATCTATTATTTCTTCAATCCATCTTTTTATTTTAGTCCAGTATTTTTTTGCAACTGGGCATGTCCACCATAGATGATAATATGTTCCGTGTACTTTTTTGCATTTCCAGCATGTTGGCGAATTATTCTGGAACATCTTGGCAAGCTTTGCTGGTGGAAGATGCCATCTGTAAAACATCTTCAACTGGTTTTCCTTGAATGCCGCTGACATAGTCATTTTTATGTTTATTTTCCATATTTTTTCCCATTTCTCCAATTCTATATTATATCTGAAATTTTTTGCCCATCTAATCATTGTGTCTTTGACAACCTCATCTTCCATTTTATATTTCAATAAGTATTTGTATAAATTGCTAATTAATTTTATTTCTGTTCCATGTATAATTTTATCCAATTCTTGCGGCTCTTTTTGTATTTCATATAATTTTTTGTCCTC